GCAATCATCGAAGCAGCAATCCAAATCAGAAAGGATATGGTCACGTGCCAATTATGTGCCTGGATTATGTAATGTTCTAATCCACCCGTCTGGCCCTGGAGCCCTGGCCTGGATGCTGATGGACGGATTATAGCATAAGCAGCACAGTTTGGGGGAATATTTGAATTATTTGCTTATCTTTTGTATTCCTGTTATACAGCCATTGGCTTTGTTTAAGCGTATGTTTGGAGGAAAATGGCGATGGCGAAGATCAATAGATATATATCCCCACATTGCACATGTTCATCAGACTGCCCCACGATCTTTATTTCCTCCTCAATCTGTTGCTGTTTATTTCTATTAGCTCAAACATTCAACCTCCACTTTGATACGTCTCCAGAGACTGTCTCTTACTACGCCAAAAGGCTTAATCGTCTGTTGACACCAAAGCTTAGATCTTCAAGCCAGCCTTGAAATGTTGTTGCATCTTGTTATGCAATCTTGGAAAGATTTGGAAGTCAGGCCGACGAAGTATACGAATCCATCCACTGCTAGTCGTATAATCTTCAGGAGTACTATATTTGTGGGTGTCTCCTGGGTAGTCTAGTTACCATAGTAGCTCTTGATCGGCACTTTTATCAAAATCATCTGTACTAGTAAAACCATCCACAGTACCATTAAGATTCATTATACTGGACCTACTATGGCTAGGGAGGGTCCCATTCTACTTATAGATCAATACTTAATTAAACATGGCTATATTACCAAAAGGAGGTAGGTAATATTTACGATTGTCGTAGAGAGTCTTAGATATTGCATATTGGCGGAAAACCCCCTCCTAAAAAGGGTTACACCAATACCTACTATTTATAGTAGGCTCATACCTGAGGCTCTGGTTAAGTATATTAAGTAGAACCAAGAGTTGATACAGAACGATTTATAAGTCGGAGTTGCGATACTGTTCTCATAAGTAATTGAGGCTACTGCAAGCCGACTCCATCTAGAATACTAGCATATGATCCAATCAAGTTGAAACAGAGGTGAAGTTGTGTACTCTGTACTGTTTTTGGGGTATATTTTATGATATATTTTTAGCCGAGTCTGAAGAAGTCTACCCTTGTACACAGATAAGATACGAATTCCGACATTTTCCATATATATATATTTTCCCTCTGAGGCAAACAAAATCCTGAGCAGCTTCTTAGTTTCACTTTATATTAATTTTAGGTAGAATACAAATGGATTCGAAGATAATTGCAGTTCGTAGTATAGACCGATCTCGCGGCTCTGATTGGGCTAGCGTCATCACTAAAAATTTAGTAACCCGTCCACTTCCATGCCGCAGCCGACTTCCCCTCTACCAACTTTTCCACTGTGTGTTTGCAGATATTAAACCTAAACCACTTGATTCAGATTTTGATTCTTGGCTTTCTCACCAGGTGTCTCTGATCTTTTGACTTTTCCTTCCACCTAATCCTACTCTCCGAGAAGCGCGCACAAATCTGTTGGCGCGTTTCCCCCAACTTCAACCGCAATCATGGGTTCGTTCCAGACCTTTATTTCCCCCGATAGGATATCTACCTGTCGGCGAAAATATTCGCGGGCGATTGCTGACATGATGAATATTAGCTCCTAAAAATAAAGCCCAGAAGATGTCTATGAGCACCTTCTTGGCTGATGAAAGTGAGTGACCGGAAAATTTGGATGATTTGAGGTGATTACTGACGTCTATAGGCCTTGGCTCTTGGGCTGATGAGATGGAGGATATGCCCCTTCCTTGTAAGTTGCAGATCCCCCGCTATGGAAATTGCGAAATTGTACTAACCAAAAAAATTATAGCCAGTATGTAGTGTGCCCGATACCCAACATGCTTATCGTTGAAACCCTTGCTTACACTATGGACAGCCCAGCCTCTGACATCTACCTTCAACCGCCGCCCCGCAGGTGATTCGGCCTTCGGCTCCGGCTCCGGCGGCTTTGGTATGATATACCCCGCGCCAGATACATAGAATATGTTCTAACAGATTGAATGATTAGAGCGTGAGCGTGGTGGATATGCCGTCCGAGAGCCTCTTGATCTCCCCACCCAGCCCCCCTACACTTGCCACGTTGGCAACCTTTCCTTCGAATCTACTGAGGCCGATATCTCCGAGCTTTTCTCTGCATGTGGCGTGACGAGCGTTCGTCTCGTGGAGGACAAGTTGACAAAGGCCCCCAAGGGCTTCGGATATGTCGAGTTCGAGACCGTCGAGGGCCTGCAGAAGGCTCTGGATCTGTCTGGCTCGTCTCTTCAGGGACGTTCCATCCGTACCAGTGTTGCGGAGCCTCGTAAGTATTGAAGGTTTGGTGATTTTGTGAAGATCTGAACTGACACGTTCCCTAGCCAAGGAATCTCGCCTTGAAGGCAAGGATCTTGACTGGTCCCGACGTGGCCCCCTCCCCGAACTTCCCCAGCGCCGTGCGCCTGAACGCTCCAGCTTCGGCCGTGGCATGGATGCCGGCTCCGATGCAGGCACCGACGGTGGCCGTCGCAGCAACTTTGAGTCCGACGGAAAGCCCCGCGACTTCAACAACTGGGAGCGCAAGGGACCCCTCTCGCCCTCTGCCGGTGGTCCGCCCCGCGAGGGTGGCCGTGAGCACAGCAACGACGGACCCGGTTCCAGCTTCCGGCGAAACGAGGCTGCATGGGGTGAGGGACGCTCCCAGGATGAGGGCTCGCGCCCTCCCCGCCCCGAGCACGTTCGCCCCGAGCCTACACCTACTGCTGCCGATATGGACAACCAGTGGCGCGCGAGAATGCGCCCCGATGAAACCCCCAAGGAGCCTATCAGCCCCGCCTCCCCCTCTGCCACGCCTGCCGTTCCTGCTGCCCCTGCTGGCCGCCCCAAACTGAACCTGACCAAGCGCACTGTCACAGAGACCTCCACTCCCACCTCAGCCAGCGGCGACTCCAAGGCCAGCCCCTTCGGTGCCGCTCGCCCTATTGACACTGCTACCCGCGAGCGTCAGGTTGAGGAGAAGCGCCAGCTCGCCCTCCGCCAAAAGCAGGAAGCTGCCGAGAAGGCCAAGGCCGAGAAGGCTGAAAAGTTTGCCGAGAAGCAAAAGCAGGCCAAGGAGGCAGCCCCTGCCGTGGATCACAACGGCAGGGATGTCCTTGAGACCCCCAAGGGTGGTAGCAACTTTGAGATCCTCCAACGCGCCGGCGAGGATGGCGAGCTGACCGCCGACAAGGAGACTGAGGAGACAGCAGCTCCCGCTCCTGTCGAGACCAAGAAGGCGTCTGCTAACGGCTGGAGATCCCCGGCCCCTGAGGCTGGTGCTGCTGCTGGCGGCGACGATGAGGGATGGAGCACGGTCAGCGTGAACAAGCGCAATAAGGGCCGTGGACAGACTGGTCGTGGATTCGCATAAACGTATCGATACCCCGAAGCAACGGCCGTTTTTTTTTTGCCCTGGGGCTTGGAATCACCGGTACGCAGGTGGGCTAATTCTGGACGAGGTTCATTCCGGTCTTGGTGTGTTGCTCGGTCTAGTTACCTTGAGCGGTGCACCTGATAGGTTTGTCACTCATAATTACCACCTGCTTCCGCCATCCTTCAGCGCGGACGTAGATTGCTTTTTCTGATTGAGCTTTATTCTCCTTTCCACTTCCCTTACTCCTTTGCCCTTTGGTTTCATGATCTCTTTTCCTTTTTCGTGGACTAGATTTTTCCGATCTATATCTAGTCTTCGCTTCGATGATCTGGCGGTCCGAAAAGTTTCATTTTATGTCTTGTTCGCTATCTAGCTATTATTCCCATGCGTGACTCAAAGTGATCTGCCCATGACCATTACAGCCGATGCGAAATGAATATTACATGTTCCATTTTATTCTCTTTTTCTTTTCCCTTTTCCCATTTTTCTTGCTCTCTCAATTTTCTCCTCTCTTCCGTTCGATTGACCACGGGTGGTCCTGTTTCTTTCTCGTCCCTGTCTGCTGTTAGGACCTACGTTGGGGAGTTGGAGTCTTTGACACTCTCCTTTCTTTCTTCGTTCTCGGCCATGCGAACAAGACGATTCTACGAGAATAGTCATTACGAGCACCCCTCTCATGAGCACAACGTTGACGAAATAAGTTCCTGTTCTTGCTCTTCTTTCGACTGCTTCTATTTCAATTCTTTGGCCGGATCTTTGCATGGCAGAGTTGTCTCGATGGACTTTGCTCCATTTCTGCGTACTAACCTTTGAGTTGAATTTCCGCTTAGCATAGAATGAAATGCAGTCTTCACTGACAGTTAGGGGTCTTTGTAGAATTTGCGTAGGATATTCCAAATGTAGGACGTTTTCGATCCCGAGAGGCTATAAATACATGTAATAATATCTTTGTTCAATCTAGGTTTCATGAGTGTCCCCTGTCTTTATGTCTCTGACAAGGTTTCCAAGGCACTAGTGTATCAGAATATGGTCGATCAGTTACCCTGAAGAAATGGGGAGGTTGGATATCTTGTAATGATGAATATTGTGGTGCCCTACCGCTATGCTATGTTTAGTTTTAATAGTAATAGTCTAGATTCAAGACGTCCAAAAATAGTTCAGGTTTCACCTACTTGATCAAGCAAGGGGTATAAAGGATATATCCCCTAGTCAGAACGTGGGATATTAGTATAAATGTTCGAGGGTGCAGATGAGCACGAAGTTGACTAGTTTATCAGTAAATGTGCCCTTTTCCTTAATATAAGTTCAAATGTTTTGAAGATAAAGATCTCCATTTAAATCCAAGTTCATCTTATACAATGAGATCATATTCAGGAACCAATGAGATACGATTGGCCAAGAAATAGAGTGGCCGGTATGGAATTAATTGAAACCCCTTCAAAGGGCCACAGGGGATTCTGATTTCAGCCTCTTAAATTCTTTTAAATTAATTTTTTTTGTTACAGTATTTAGGTACTTCTTAGACCCCCGGCCGTTGCAACCCAAGAGTACCCTAGTCCATTAAAATCATTAAACCTTGAGAATCTCGGGGTAAGCCCCATGTTGCCATGTCGACTACAACATCCCTCACAACCACGCTTGTTGCACCGGCCATGAAGGGTATCACTATATCAGAAAACCAATGTCCTATGTGTTGGGGTGAAGGATTTCCCCAAGATGGCTCTGGCGCCCACGATAGGATCCAGGAGTTAGAGGGGCAGGTGCACGCGTTGACAGCGCGCGCTTCGGCTACAGGTAAGCCTTTGCAGAACTCGACTCTCTGCAGAATAAGCATAGCATGGAAGCATACGATCGCGTATCTACAGAGAAGTCATAGAAGAGTTTTTTCTTCTTTCCATTATTTGAATCCAACCCTTAAAAAGAAACAAGAACCCCCATTCACTAACCCGATCGCAAACAGCCTCCAAACTTAACGAGTACGAAGAAGAACTTCGACGTCTACGCTCCTCCCAATCTAAAGGACCCTACCACACACCTCGAAGCAGCTCCTCAATGGGCCGACCCCCCTCCCAAAGCGACCACTCCTCACCACAGCGCCCAGGAACCTCAGAGTCCCAGTCCCAACCACAAACATACCACAGCCGCCTTACAAACCTAGCCTCCTTCCTCCCCTACCGACGCGGCAGCACAACCACCGCAAGCGCACCCACAACATCCAGCGGTCTCCCAAGTACCCCAACCGCCCTAACAGCACCCCTCACGCACATGTCCCCACCGCACAGCGACACCTCCGAGCTGCAGGATGCGCTTGCGCGCGAACAGAGACGGCGCGAAGCTGCCGAGACGCAGCTTTCGCAGGCAAGTACTGAACTAGAGGACTTGACTGTGCAGCTTTTCAGTCAGGCGAATGAGATGGTCGCTGAGGAGCGGAGGGCCCGCGCGAAGCTGGAGGAGAGGATTGCTGTGTTGGAGAGGAGGGATCTTGAGAAACGTAACCGGTTGGAGAGGTTGGAGAAGGCTGTGGCGCGTGTGGAACGGTTGAGGGCTTTGGTTAATCATGAATGATGGTTTCAAGCTGGGGAGCTTGGAAGAGTTTTGCCTGGTTATTACGACTGGTACGATTGTATTTTTTGATGATGGAAATGATTGAGCATCTACTTGGCAGGATTGGAGGCTTTGGATTCCTATGTTTTCTGTTAGTTTGTTATTGGCGCAAATGGGGAGTTTACAGTTTGGAGTCAATTTGTGTAATTTGAGAGATTCAAGATTGTATAACCCGATGTATCACGGAGTTTCCGCATGTTTTACCTCGTATAGGAAGAATATATAAATCTACAGATAAAAAAAACTAGTCCTAAACCACATATACTACCGACAAAGCCTTAGCCAAAGAAGACATCCGACAAATCAAAATAGGAAATGCAGCCGGGCGAATGACGTGCATTGAGGTTGGACCTTCCCGTAGTTAAGACCCCACTACTGAACTTCCTTTTATAGCACTAGAAGTACTGGCAAAAAAGTAACATTTGATATTTTCTTTCTCTACAAATTGTTCTCTATACAATTTAATCATGACTACCGGCGTGGCTATCATCGGCAGTGGTACGCAATTATCATCTACACTTTATGCTGTACTTTGTATGCGTTGGCTAACATTTGAATAGGTCTCTTTGCGAAAGAGGAACACCTAGTATGACACATCCCTCAATATACCATTTTTATACAATACACTTGACTAATTAATCACACAGCCCGCCGTCCAAGCTGCTTCAAACTTCCAACTCAAGGCTATCTATTCCCGGTCCTTGAAGTCAGCCCAAGACCTCGCCAGCGGCACCTCTGAAGTCGATCTCTACTCTGAAGACTCTGGCTCTGGCAAGTCCTATGACGATCTACTGGCTCGTTCAGATATCGGCGCTGTGATTATTGCGTACGGGATCCCTATTTTTCTAGATTCCACTCAAAACACTAGGGCGAAACACTAACTCTCGACTCCGACAGCCTTCCCATTCTCGTTCAGCCCGAGTTCATCAAGAAAGCACTACTTGCTGGCAAGCATGTCTTGTCTGAGAAGCCCATTGCTAAGGATATCGCCACTGCCCAGGAACTTTTGAAATGGTACAAGAGTAATATCGATACCAGCAAAATCTTCTGGGCCGTCGCCGAGAACTTCCGTTATATGACAAAGTTCCTCTTCGCTGCAGAGCAAGTCCAAAAGCTGGGCAAGGTCAAGAATTTCCGAGTGAAAGTTCACAGCTTGATGGATGAAGGAAACAAGTACTTCCGTACGTTCAGTCCCGGCTGAGGCTCTACATGGAGGATCTTACGAAGACTGATCATATTTGAACTAGACACGGCCTGGCGCAAGACTCCTGAGTACCAGGGCGGATTTCTTTTGGACGGTGGTGTTCACATGACTGCTGCGCTGCGCCTGATTCTAGGCCCCGCGGAGCGTCTTAACATTCTGTCAGCGCAGTCGCAGCTGCAGCAACCATTCCTGCCACCGGTTGATACAGTGGATGCTGTCGCGAAGACTGAATCTGGTGCTACGGGTGTTATCTCTTTGTCATGGGGATCGTCGTTTGACGATCAGACTTTCGAGTTTGCTTGCGAGAACGGTGTTGTTGCCTTGAACTTTGATGATGTGACAGTAAATGGCGAGAAGCACCATGTTAAGTTCGATGGCAGGGGTGTTGTGCCAGAAGTGGCAGAGTTTGCAAACTCAATTTTGAGCGGAGAGCCTGACAGTAGACAGTCTCCCGAGCAAGCATTGGCGGATCTTGAGATCTTGGAACAGATGTTGCGGAGTGGTGAGAAAGACGGTGAGAAGGTTCAGTTGCATCTGCAGTGAGATTTAAATGCTATATAGAAATCATTCTAGAATAAATGGCATATAAATCAAAAAATATTGCAAAAGTATGAATGCGTGATATAAGAAACATAACAAGAAAGAGAAGAGACCATCATGGACTACAGTATACAAAGTAGAACCTTGGAACACCTCCAGGTATTGCCCAAAGAGGAATAGTAGGGCTAGAGTCATACCAGCCCTAGGCTGACATAAGTGGTCACATTTCGCTTAGTTCGCCCAAAGCGCACTAGTGTGGGTCTCCCACTCTGCTGCGGGAGAACCTGAGAGAGAAGTTTTCGAGATTGAACTCCGACCCCGACAACTCTCGAACGCCCGGCGAGACCCAGCATAACCGACAAGGTCAGTCACCAAATGTGCAGTATATTCGAACGAGTCACTAATTTTGATTCCAGATGGTCGCCGCTAAGCAGCACATCCCTATCGTGAAGAAGCGTATGTTCCCGATCTGTTCCATTCCTTTTCGTGCCCGTGCCCGTGTCCTGGATACCATCGCCCTTCGATCTTCGACCAAATGAAACAAAGCAAGTCTAGCAAGATGGACCGAACGAAGAGAACGACTATTGGAGGATTGCTGTGGAAGAAAAACTCGACATTTATTCTGAATCGAGGGGCGACATTATCCGCAGGGCCATGGAGGCCGAAAAGGGCACAAATTATCCACTCACGATCGGAGGACTGACCTGGACTGAAATTAGGCACGAACCGCTTCAACCGTCACCAGTCTGACCGGTTCATGCGCGTTGGCGCCTCGTGGCGCAAGCCCAAGGGTATTGATAACTGCGTTCGTCGCCGTTTCAAGGGCCAGATGGCCATGCCCTCCATTGGTTACGGTTCCAACAAGAAGACCCGCCACATGATGCCCTCCGGCCACAAGGCTTTCCTCGTCCACAACACCAAGGACGTTGAGCTCCTCCTCATGCACAACCGCACCTTCGCTGCTGAGTACGTTTTGCGCCATCTGTCTGAGCGAGCTTTACTGCTCTTGATCGCTCTATATATTGCATTCGCTAACAAGTTATACAGGATCGGCCACGCCGTTTCTTCCCGCAAGCGTGTTGAGATTATCGAGAAGGCCAAGGCTCTCGGTGTTAAGGTCACTAACCCCAAGGGCCGTGTCACCACCGAGGCATAAATGGAATAAACCCAGTTTGTTTCCTTTTAGTTGGGATTGGTGCACTAGGTCGGGGTTTTTGTATGGCGATACTTTCTCTCTGGCGATAACGAAATACAAGGATTATGCACGGCATGTCCAGCTCGGGCCTGGTCATGGTGCCGGGCGCTGTGAAGCGAGAGAATTGTTCTCTGAAATGACAACAAAAATTGCAAAAAATCCCTTTTTTTGGTTCACCCCAAGATATTTCAAGGAAATGAGGTGTGGCAGATTCTAATCTGACCCTTGTGTAGTTGTAAATATCCAATATACATCTAGTGCTCAGGTGTACTTGTCGGTGTACCTAAGCAAAATCCTAACCCTAAAAACAAGTGAACTTCCCATCCCAAGATTGACGTCTTGATATTTCCCTTATATTTCTCTCCCCTACAACATATTAATACACCCAACATGAAACACCCCTTTACCTATAATCGATCACTATATGCACACGTTTCAGATCGTGGGGACCCACCTTTGGTGACATACGTAACACTGAAAAGTTCCGAGACCATCTGGACAGGAAATAGGAGCACAGGATCTGAATCAGGACAAGATTAGGATAAATTGCACTGATATGCCAATTTGTCAATGCCGATTTGTCAATGTCTCATGTCTTGACCATTTCCCGAAAATGATAGAGCCACTATAGCTTCGGTTGAATGTAACCTATGATGTACGTAGGCAACTGTATCAGCCCCCACGCGCCCATCACTTAAGAACTTGGAGACCCCCCTCCTGAAGATCCCCTCAACTTCCTGTTTTATAATTAGGTCTCCATCTGGAATATGGAGACCGATAGCCATTAAACCCCTTTCTTTAATTCTCTCCCTCTCAACCGCTAGGATCCTAGGATCCTAGGACCCCAATCTTTGCAAAATGCCCTCTCTCCCGCCCCGATATAGTCGCTGGATACTCATTGTGGGCCCAGTAATCCTAATCCTCTTGATACTGCAATTTATGCACGCCGATTTCAGCTCAAAGACCACGCAGGACGTGATCAAGCCCGGCGCCGGGCTAACAATTGATACACACAACTCGACTGACCCAAGCGTTGAAACCAACCCAAAAACCGACCATGTACCATCATCCTGTCCAACAGACACGGAATTGGACTCCGTGCTCATAGTGGTAAAAACCGGCATCACCGAAGCACAAGACAAAGTCCCCGTCCACCTAAGAACGACTCTCCGCTGCGTGCCGCACAAGATAATCGTCTCCGACTTCGAAGAAGAGATAGCCGGTACGCGCACGCACGATGTCTTCCTCAACGTCTCCGACACCCTCAAACAAAACAACCCCGACTTCGACATCTACAACCGCGCCCGTGCCGGAGGCCGCGCAGCCCTAACCTCCGAAGACCACACGAAAGTCGCCAACACCGCTTTCGGAATGACCGACAACCCGGGGTGGAAACTAGATAAGTGGAAATTCCTCCCGATGATCCACACGGCGCGGCGCGCGAAGCCAGACGCCAAGTGGTTCGTGTTCCTAGAAGCCGACACGTATCCGATCTTGCCGAATCTGCTCGGGTGGCTTGAGCATTTCAATTCCGAGGATAAGCTGTATCTGGGGAATCCGATGCAGATTGGGGCTAATTTGTTTGCGCATGGTGGGTCCGGGTTTGTGCTTTCTCATGCGGCTATCCATGCCGTGGCGGATTTTCATAAATTGCATATTGATGAGTGGGACGAGATCACGGACCAGGAATGGGCGGGGGATTGTGTGCTGGGCATGGCGCTTACTGCGGCTGGTATTGGACTTACTTGGTCTTGGCCGCATGTTACCACTCAGTCGGTTTGGGATCAGGATATGTTGCATGAGGGATTTTCGAGGACGCCTTGGTGTTTTGCTCCTTTCACTTTCCACCACATGACGCCGGCGGATGTGGATCGGTTTTGGGAATTCGAGCAGCAGTGGTTTGCGGATGTGAGTTTCTTTTTTTTTCTGTGTTGGGTATCCATCTGGGATATGTGAATATGTCACTAACAAACCCTAGACAAACTCAAGCGTCCTCACATACAGCGATATCTTCCGCAACCTCATCCGCCCAACTCTCGCAGACCACCTAGACAACTGGGACAACTTTGCGAACGACGGCGACGACAAAGAGGATTACAAGGGCCCCAAGACGCCGACTTCTTTGACCGCCTGTGCGGACTACTGCGCCGCAGACCCAGAGTGCATCCAGTACCGGCTGACGTCCGACTCCCGCTGCACGACGTCCAAAGCGGTACTGCGCGGGAAGCCCGGGCCAGGTACGCAGTCAGGGACGATGCTGTGGCGGGTTGATGCTGCGGTAGGGCAGATGGAGAAGTGTGAAAAGGTGTCGTGGGTGACCCGCTAGACTTGGGTTTTTGGATGTCAAAATATATTTCATCGTTGGGATACATTACTAGGCGTTGATCGTTAGGCGTTATGTTTTGGTCTGGTTCGGTTTTGCATTGCGGTTGAAAGATAGCGTTTATGGCATTGGCTGGAATGGTAGCGAAACTGGTACAAAATTATACATGAACTCACTGTTTATTGGGATGGATGGTGTGCTTTATAGGATTTTGGAGCGAGTCATTAAGCTCTAGGCTGTGTAGGGAGAAATTTAGATAGGAGTCAACAAGTGATCAGTTTTGACCGCAAAGTGTTGGAGCTTGATATACTATGGGGAATAGAATGGCTAGCAAGTCCCACAGTACATATCTACATGATCTCTGGTAAGGTATCAAGCCAACAATTCTAATGAATGGGGATTTGGACTGGATCTCGGCCTTCTGATACATCATTGAAAGCATATAGCTGCGGGTTTACAAGCGTTAAACTATACGATTTTTTTTTTATTAAATTTTGATAGATTGCATGTATCTATAATACTCTTCTAAATCTAGCAAATCTATATGGTAGGAAGACCAAAACATCAGTATCGACATGTCTTGGAAGATTAAAACCAAGACGCTATGCTCGTGAACTTTTTATGGCAAGTCAGCAGAGTGGTATCATGAAGACAAAGACAAAGACACTTCGAGGAATATGACATGGGTAGAAGGTATTTTCAAGAAAGGAACCCCTAAGAGAAAACATCATTAGTTCGTAGCAGCTGCCTCCGTGACTTCGCAAAGAGACTCGCTCATTTTCACAGCATCGGAGAGATTGACGAGACCAACGCCTTCTACAAGAACAGAGCCAGTCCTTGCATCTGCAACATGATCATCATCGCCCAAGCCAGCCGGGACAGTCCCATGGCCAATAACAAATTCCTCGCCCTCGGCAGCAGGAACCCAGTCTGGACACACATGGGGACCCTCCATGCCTGGGGGAGGCATGCCCCAGCGAGGCATAGGGCTGCGGTAACTCCAATCGCCATCTTTGTCGGCGTATGCAACAGCATGCAAAAAGATACCCAGCTCATGTGGACCTGGATCCGAGTACAGCTCTGTACCACAGATTTCGCAGAAGTTACCGGACAGACGCTCGCCCTTGCGCTTCTCGTAGTCCTCAGCTGCGGCCATCTGCTCGCGATGCATAATCTCGTTGACAAGCACCGGGTCGGTGTTTGGTGGGACATTCGGCGCCGCAGTCAGGTGTGTGCGGTACGAGACCGTGTCGGGGATCTCGGTCTTACCCATGAGAGACAACCGCGCGACAATCTCTTCGTCGCGCTCTGCGGTCACCTCGGCTTTGCCAAGCTCGGGCCCGAACACACGACGGTTGGAGTAGATAGGGTCGTTAGTAATCGGGTGGCCCAAGAACTGGAGGTGGACACGGATTTGGTGGGTACGGCCTGTTAGCGGGAGACAGTGCACGATACTGTAGCCCTCGGTCTCATTGGCGAATGTCGCAGGTGGAGTAGCGGGGCGCCCGTCGTCGCTAGATGATTCGGTCTCCGTTACTGTCTGAGGGTAATAAGCCAAGCGACGGAACTTGGTTGTCGCTTCTTTGCCGGTGGCGCGCACACGGTTGAGGCCCAGCTTCGGGCTAACCTGCATGATGGGCTGGTCACAGATAACCACGCCGTCCGGGAACTTGCCCTTCACGCGCGCCACATACTCTTTCTGTACAGTCCGGGCCTTGAGCGCGGTGGCCATTTTTTCGGCGCCCTGCGGGTGCTTTCCAATGAACATAATTCCAGATGTCAATCGATCAAGTCGGTTGCATGGGCGGGGAAGCCATTCGGAGCTGCGCTCGGAGCGCAAGATTTCGATGACCGTATTGAAGTGGTATCGACCGGCGGCGTGCACTGGTACACCGGCAGGCTTATCAATGACCAGGAGATCGTCATCTTCGTAAATGATTCCAATAGGGAGGCTTGTAACCGGGGGTTCGTGGCGGTGGAGGGTGTGCGAGATGACCTGGCCGTTTTTAAGTGTCGTTTCGGGGCGGGCTGTCACACCGTTAACCTGTACAAGGCCATCCTCCAGGGCTTTCCTCTAGTAATTGTCAGTTTATGATTCTCCTACTTCTGGAAATCAACTGCCTCCACGCTTTCGCTTTCACGTACATAGTATTCTGGCTTCCGATCGCGAAACTCGGATGTGAAGATCTCGACCAGCTGGCGACCCCGCCATCGCTCCTTGCAGTTGGTATTATAGGTGTAATGGTATGGCTTGACGCGACGGAAACCACTATCCAAATAGTAGGGTGCAGGCCATGGATCGCAAGGCGTCACGAGTACATCTGGGGTCTTTTCAACTGGTTTCGAGGGGGTAACTTGATCGACGTTCATGAGGGCCATGGTAGGAAGCTTGAGCTTGCCTTGCCGTAGCAAATAGGCCGTGATACGAGGTGAGGGAGCCAGATAGGCGACAAAAGTAACAAATAGAGAATTGGAGAGACTACTAGAAACTAGAGAAGTGAGGTTCAAAAAAGAAAAAGTTATGAAAAGTTAAGATAATAATTTGGGAAGGCCCCACATGAAAAAGAATTGCCAGGCACAAATATTATGTATTTTCCGAAGTTGCCCCTCTAGAAATTGAATATGTAAGCCAATCATAATCCTGGAATATAAAATACATGCATACAATCACTAGGTACGAAGTAATAAAAAATACATACTAATGTATTGCAAATAAAAAAAAAGAGTCTTGAAGATCTTGGTAACAGTGGGGTTCGAACCCACGCCTCTCGCGAGACCTGAAAGCCCAAGTATTAACTTAAGTCCTGTGATATTCATTAGAGACAAATTCAAAACGGCAAATTTTTAGTTAAAACTAACAGGCGCCTTAAACCACTCGGCCATATTACCGCAGCAGAATAAAAAAAGATCACATAATATGTATGGAACGTTAATATTTTGGGAGGTTAGCAAGTTCTACTAGTCGCGCTTCAACATGGAGGTAAGTATTCTCCGGAGGTCTCTTTAAAGCTGTCCCATTATCTTAAAATTATTAGTAGCCCTGTTTACTTCCAAGGCTAAGCTGTACCGTCTGTAGACTGACCTTTAATAATCTTATAATTGCCCAGGTGGTATTTAATGGACTTGGATGTTACAGGTGGGAGTCCTGGAGGCTATCCGTGGACTTATATAGTTAGGTATTCGTGGGTGACAAACATGCCATGACTAACCCGTGAACAGGTTACATGGATACTTGACGCAATCAAAGTATGGTAGATCGATCGCCGAGGCTTTAATATCCTGCATTCCCATCATTTCCTATATAGTTCCATACAACCTGAAGATGACGAATGAGAAGCCGAGGCTTTGCTTACCTGTTGGTAATAAGTCTTACACTGAAGCTGCTGTTATCATCGTAGGAGCAGGCTTCTCTGAAATCCGCGTTGTTATCGATCTTCTCAAGACAAATAAATGGAAAATTTTTGTGATTCTAGAGATGTCATCCGGCCTGGGTGGTACCTAGAGAGACAATAAATATCCAGGCTGTTGCTGTGATGGTACGTTGTCGACCTTAAGCCCTAGTTCCTATTATCTACTTTGACATATAATTGACGATTGCTGGAAGTGTGGTCACACCTGTACAGCTATTCGTTTGAACAGAATCCGGACTGGATAAAAGAGCACTCTGGTCAAGAGGAGGTTCTAGAGTGCCTAGTTGGTGTGGCTCAAAAGTCTGGGCTTTATCAATACATTCGATTTAACTCCTCTGAGGAGGAATGCGAATGGAATGACGTGACCCAAAAATGGAATATCGGCGTTCGAGTCTCAGGTGAAAAGGATGCAGAGTTCAACAGTTCCTATTCTATCAAGTCTGACTTCTTGGTATCAGCTGTCGGCCATCTTAATGTTCCGCAGCTACCATCAATTCCCGGATTGTTGGATTACCAAGGAAAGCTCATGCATAGTGCTTATTGGGACTGGACCTACGGCCCGAAAGGAAAGAATATTGCAGTTATTGGTGTTGGTTCAACATCCACTCAGATTGTTCCCGAGGTCGCCAAATTTGCCAAATATCTCACGGTGTATCAAAGGAACCCTAACCGGATTGCTCCCCGCAAAAATTCCCCTATTCCGATGTGGGAAAGAATGATCTACAAGTATCTCCATCCCTACATTTGGCGGTACAAGCGAGCGCAAATGATGAACTACCGCGAGAAAACCTTCGGTTCCCTAGTAGTTTCTACGCCCCAGAATGCCGATAACTTCGAAGTCCTTTGCGAGGCCCACATGAAAAGGCAACTTCCAGGCCAAAATGAACTTTGGGACAAGCTTTTGCCCGTTTACAAGATTGTTGCAAGCATGTCATCTCTTCCGATGACGTTTATCCTGTCTTCCTACGAGAGAATACAAAATTGGAGACTGGTCAGATTCAACGCTTGACCCCAGAGGTGTTATGGCTGACGGAGTGGAAAAATAGTTCGACTTGATCACTCTCGCTACTGGATTGCGAGCTACTGATTTCATGTGCAATATGAAAATAACGGGGCGAGACGGGCGTTCTATTTCCACTGTATGGAAAGATGGCGCCGAAGCACTGAACGGCATTTGTGTCGAGTCATTGCCCAACTTTGGCATGATGTACGGTCCGAACACCAATATGAGCCACAATAGCATCATTCTCATGATTGAGGCTCAAAGTCGGTACATCAACGCCTTGATTGAGGGAGTCATGAAGGTCCGAGAGGCTGGCGGGCGGGTTACCATCGAGCCAAACCCCAGAGAGTACGGGATTACAACAAAAGGATCCAAGACGAACTACTACGCCAGTCCCGATTGCAACAGCTGGTATAAAATTTCCGAATCTGGCAAAGTTACCAACAACTGATCGAAAACGGCCATTGAGTATCAAGAGGTGAGTTGCTCAGATATCCTATTATGCTGTGATACTAAAGACAGCCTTGATAGCTCCTCAGTAAAGTAGATTGGTCGGATTTCGATGTCTTAGGGGACGATGCAGATCGTTTATTGGTAGATGGAAGTGTGAAGACCATTGGCCGAGTAATAGAGGAGCCACAAAGTGGATGGCCACTTGTACTATTTTGGACTGCAATTATTGCAATTGTTCTTAGTTACTTTGTTCAATGATGGTTTTTGTTTTGAATATTTACAGACTCAGAATACTATAATAACAATCTACAATGGGCCTGCTAATTCGAAAAGTTAACATGCTCTATGGAAAGGAGATAGGGTGTGTGGTTTCATACCTAGAACTCAAAGTAGAAGACAGTTGTATAAAATATGGGAGAGAAGCATATATTATACCTGTATCACTAGATTTTTTCTTATAAAAAAACCACCTATCTCAAACGTCCTAGCCATCTGGTGTCTGTAGCAACCAACAGCTTTCCACCAATATATCTTACAGCAATACCGACTCTTTTCGTATTAATGTCAGTTGAGATTTTGAATAAACCATGCTAACTGAAGGTCAAAAGCAGCCTATACGGTGACATGAGACATTTGGACATGCCGAATGAGCGGTCACAATGCGGACATGAATGTGGCTGATGAGGTTTTATTTTAGTAGATTTCCTCCCACGTTCAACACATACCCATTTTTAGTAGGGCATTCGCTTTTCATATTTGAATCTCATAGTTCGTGGGACACTAGCAGAATACTAACGAGAGGCCTAATAGTACATTCAAGATCCCCCTCCAAAGAATCCAAGTAATACCCCTCGTATGAGGGCGGCCATCAGACTCCCCAAATCTTGTTTGTTTGCTCCATCAAATATACCAAGTCTCCGAGAGTGAAGCAATAAACATTTGTTTACGTTTCCCTTCGCTGCTTTCAACCTGGCACTCATGGTTATCAATCATGTCGTCCTCCGTGTATGTCTCACTGAGGGCATCAAAATGATAGATTCCAAAATAAACAGGGCAGGTTCCCATTGGAACATTACTTCCTGATCCTGATAGTAAGTTCTAAATGAGTAATTTGGTCCAAATTTTTTACATCAGTAGCGATGAGACGTTAAGTTTCCCAAACGCCACCCACTCTTGCACAATGAGGATTACAGGAATTTAGTAATATCCTAAACAGTACTCATTCTTGGTTTTAGTGTACTGCAAGTCATCCATGATGGCCAAGGGTGGATTGTGCTCAAAGAACCTTGAAGCTCATACGTAGTCGTAAATCCCAAATGCATGTGTCATGGGAAGTGTGTCATTTTGGCATAATTCCGGATCACTAAACTTTCTATTGAATCTACATGCCTAGCTGTGAGGAAGATATCTGGGCCTAATGCATGTTATCGAATACTTTGCATGCAACTTATATTAAATTGCTCGCTCATAAAATAAAGCCTACGGCAATTTGAGAAAGACACATCCAAATCCACGACCTTATCACAAGTTTGAGACTTTTTGTTTTCTCCAATACTGCAGAAAAAATGGCTTCCACATGTGAAGATTGTCAGGTCGTGACAAGACGCGTCGCGCCCGCTGGTGGATAAGAATTGGGTATACCGGTTTCAAGATCGCATTCCACTAATTCATTGTGGAAGCGACTGTACAGATAGAGTATGAGCACATACTTTGAAGAAGACAAGGGCATCGCGACTAGTCTCAATGTATCCCTATCTTCGATTTAGGAAACATGTTTACAAACGGTCTTCCAAGTCTCCCAAAAGCTTCACCATTTCTGTTTTATTCCATTTCTGTGCGCAGTCTAGCGCGGTGTCGCCATTTGCGTCCTTCACACCAGTGTCTGCTCCACGACGGATCAGAAGACGGATCGCATTCGAATCTTCCTGCTCTGTTGCTATATGCAACGCAGTCCCTAGGCTCATAGGATAAAATCGCATCCAAGTCGGGCCATCCTGATACATTGTGGCGTTTAAAGGGGCACCTCTATCGATAAGCAGCGATATAACATCCTCAAGTTCCTCATCTCGACAAACGGCATACTGAAGAAGCTGTCCTTTCTGCACATCCCCTCCACGGTTCAGTAGCATTTCAATAACATTGATACGTGCATTTCGAACAGCGTAGGACAATGGGGTGCAGTCTACCTCGCACCCTCTTCTGAAAGAAGCCGAATATCCATAGAGGATGAAGAAATTTGAGTACTGTTGGGTTGGGTTGTCAATAGTTCTGAAACAAAGAGCGAACCCGTCCATTAAATACTAATTTTCCAGTGGGGGATGCGACAAGTCACGCGCAGCTGTAGTGTGTACGCACGACTAAGTGTGCCACCTGGACACAACTCTCTCATTGGATAATATTGCCAGGCAGTATGTTAGATCCAACTACATTCGCCGTGGCCGTTACATTCCGTCACATGTGCAAAAATCTTTGGCGAAGAATACATGCGTAGTTGCCTTGGGGATTTCAGATCCAAACTACTTGAGCACATCATCGACGCTGCCATAAGACTTCTGAAATTTGCTCTTGATAGGGAAGGCATTAGGGATGTCGGTGTCTTTTGCAATGTCTTCATAGAGCTCAACGCTGGATTCCTTGATTGCCTTCTCTATTCCTTCAAGACTGTCCCAAAATTCGACGGTTTGGATGACATGTAGGGACTCCTCAGTCGGTTTAATAACGTGGTAGGATGGCGAACTCATACTATCTTTCAATTTCTATATACACATATATATATGTACTATGTAATTTTCCCTTCAATTGAGATAATAGTTTACGGAATTTCCTAGTATATAATTAGTCAATAGTTATGTATATCCATAGATACTTGGATGACTATATATGTCTACCAAAGTGGTCTCCAGAGTATCGCTTGTTTTATGTAATTATGAACATACAGCCAATGCAGTTGAAATTCTTTCGGATCTTCATTATTTGATGCTACGTATATTTACCAACCGTTTGTGATATATCTGATTTTCCTGGCCCCGAGGCCTCAGGGCAGTTCCAGACTGACCAATCCACCTTAGGTAACTTTCTATTAGGGTCCTGGAGGCATCTGCCTTTGAAATTGACCAAATACCATACCTACTATAGGTAATCTCAGGGCTAGATGGAGTCCTATCGATTAGAGTCTCATAGACCGTGAGTGCCTTGAATTCGACTATAATCCACTAGCACCCCTGCAGTTTTCAAGAATGAATTATTCATAATTATTTACCATTATCTTCATCAAACCACGAAAACAAAATGGTATCATTTGATATCCCAAAAGAATGCAACGTTGGTGTTGTCGTGAATGAGGGCCCCGACTTTCGAATCGAGATCCAAAAAGTCCCAGTACCTGAAAGTGGTAATGAAGCTGCCGATTCAATAATTTCTTGCTGCTTTCTGAAATTTCAAACATAGGACCCGAGGACGCTCTGGTCAAAATAAACACTACGGGGCTTTGCATGAGTGATGTTCATTACATGTCAAATGACTGGGGGATTGCCCTAATGTATTATTTTGGAACTCGATGTGCAGGACATGAGGGCTCTGGTATTGTCGTCAAAGTAGGCGACCGCGTCAAAAGACTCAAAGTTGGCCAAAGAGCCGGTATCAAGCCAATTGCCGAAACATGTGGTTCATGCGAACATTGTATGACAGGGAAGGATCAGTATTGCTCAGGCGCAAAGCTGACAGGCTTTGTTACTGACGGCAAGTAATCGTTTCAACAGATCGAATTTAGAATGCTAAAATTGGGTAGGTACCTATCAACAGTATCTAAGAAGCCCCGAGAGGTATACAACCCTAATCCTGGATGGCCTGTCCGACTATATCGCAGGGCCGATTATGTGTTCCGCTTCAACGGTCTACACTTCGATTAGGGAATCGGCGCTAGTTCCTGGGAAATGGGCTGTTTTTCCGGGCGGCGGTGGTGGAATGGGAAGTCAAGGCGTTCAACTTGCAGTAGCTACGGGACGTAGTCCCGTTATTATCGACTCGGAGGAGGAGAAAAGAAAACTTGCATTAGAACTTGGTGCAGAGGCTTTCTTGGACTTTAAAGAGAGCAAAGATCTTGCGTCTGAGGTCATTGCCATTTGTGATGCCATTAGAGCGCATGGTGTATTTGTGACAGCTGGTGAAAGTTATCCAACTAACTATCATACCTCGGCAATCGTGTTGAAGGAATGGTAAGGACAGCCCACCTCCAATGAGCCGATTTTGGCTAATCCTTCAATATAGGTTATGTGCATTGCCCTTCCAACTCTAGGCGCACACCCAATAACAGTGAGTGGTGCCGAATTAATCATGAAAAACAAGTTAATCAAGGGGACGATGGTAAGCAGCATGGCAGATGTGGAAAAGACACTAGAGTTTGCGAAACGGGGCAAATTCCACTTCAACCCAGAGATTGTGGGCTTGTCCAGATTGAACGAATCTCTCCAGCGCCTCAAGAAAGGTCAAGTCCCTGGGCGCATCGTTTTGGACTTCAATTTGGAATGAAAGTGATCAGATTTTATCTGTTTTATTCCTGTTGATATTCCTCATTGGTCATCTGATTCATGTTCCTATAGTCAGATACTTCCCAGAACTTGTTGAGAAATCATACTGTATCATCCCTTTCATTAGTTCTATCAAATAGAGATCTATCCTCCCGCAGCTCCTCCCTCTGTACGACATACACGGGGGATAATAATAGCGCTGGTCCAAGGGAGGAGGAATACGGTCTGGGATCTTTGACGGAGAGATTTCTACGTTTTCTTTTCTTCTGTGGATATATAGGAGCAGTGTGGTGAAGAAACATGCCGCCAACCATGGGTAACAAGGGAGGATAATCTTTTAATTCTATACCATCACCATTGTATATACTTTCATTAACCCCATCTAGTAGAGGATCTAGTATCCTTCTCTAGAATTACTCCCTAGACACCGGTCTTGGAATAGAGAGGACTATATGTTTGTCTTTTAATGTTAGGATCAAATCTCACAAATAAACTCAAATAGCAATCTTGTACTCGAATTCCCATTCCTACACCCGCTACGTCTCGGAGCTAATCTCAAGTGCTAATCTCAAGTCGTTAAGGAGAAAAAAAAACTAACTTGAAATATGGTTGAACAAATATGACAAAGAATATATTCAAAGGCAACTTTGGCCGAGTGGTTAAGGCGCTAGACTCAAGAGTCTCCTCTTCACTGAATACAGTGAGCATTCTAGTCACGAAAGTGGCGTGGGTTCGAGTCCCACAGGTTGCAATTTCTTTTTTTCCCTCCAAAATGTATGGGCTATATTATTGCCGGCCGCTCGGCCAACGCGGAACGAAAAATGTTTATCATTTAAGCCTTCCTTCCTCTCTTGGAGGCTTATATTAATCTATATTTTATCCTTCTATAGCAAGCATTAATATTATTGACACTATCCCTGACATCATGGAAATATGAAGCTTGTATCAAGTTTGGGGGAAGGGGGGTAGGGGATCAAACTAGTCAATCGGAGATAGGTCGTTAGATGCGAAGGTAGGGGTGTTAAAAGACATGTTGACTTAGTTTGGCCGCGCGAATAGCGGATGACGTGGAAAGTTTGAATTGACATGAGTGCGTGGGTATTGGATTAGATGAAAATGGTGCGTCGTATAGAGACACTTGAACGCGTGGGTAGCGGATGATAACGCCGAAGGAGAGGGGCACGGAGAGATACGGAGCGCTCTTTGAGGGTTAAAAAATCTGTGCGTTTATTAATACTGTTTTCTAGCGTAAGTAAACTCTACACTAAGAAATTGAAAGAAACTAAATTTTGATATTTAGAAGGGTATATGATTATCTATACTTATATATATATTATCAACAAATCAATGGCTCTGAACGGGCGAGGAGAGTTCCTCATCTGGTATTTAAGTTATATAAAATCGCAACTGACAGACTGTTATAGCTGATGCGGAAGAAAAGCTTCGCAGTAACAACAAAAGGAAGAGAAAAAAACATACGACAACGATAGTAGCCCCACGCGCCGGCTCGTTAAGGGTATTGAATGAATTATATCTAGCAGTTTATTATTGGTAATTGAAAATGAATGCAGATAGAAAAGAAGCGTGCAGGATCAACAGTAAGCGTAGAGAATAGGTAGGAAGCCCGAAGGCTTTGAGATATAAGAGAAAGAAAGTGGTCAAGACGTACCAATACCGTCTATTGGCTTTCAGTTGGGGGTATCTCACATAGAACTCAACCACGCGCTATGTCAACTACCCGTGTAGTTCAAAAAGCGCGCGATATGAGTCCTGTCGCTCTTAAGGTTTTGCCTAGTGCCTAGTTAGATAAACGCCTATCTTTGGATCCTTGTGAAGGCTTTACGCTGCTGGAGAAATAGAGCCAACATCGTGTTGATATTTATCGGACCTTTGCCATGTTCTGGTTATTCCTAGTTAGAGGTACGAATGATGCAGCCTATGGTGTAGGTCATATCCCAAACGGAGCACAGTGTGATTCCAATACTGCGAGATATGTTTGCAGACTCTAATTCTATATGATAGAGCCATAATATACATATGTAGTTTGATACTCAATCTTTGAGTATTACGAAGAGTAGCTGTAAAGTTGTGGGACCTGTTCACTAGGTGAGAGCTTGGTGAAGTACAATCCTAGAGTGCTTATATGTGTAATTATTGTTGAAAATGCCTAGTTGATTTCCCCTGAGATAGTCAGGGGAACCGGCTAAGTCAAATCGAAGATAAAATAAGCACAGAATTTGTGAAATCGGTTCAAGTGATACAGATTATATGCGTGAGGAAGTAGGACCTCAGGTCAAGGTATTGTTTTTGGAGGTTTAGCCACATTCGAAAAGCGTCGTCTACAGCATAACCCAAGTAATATTTTGCTTATCGCAGCCATCTTGCAAAATATGGATTGAGAATTTCATAAGCGTCTTCAACAGTATGAACGATGTTGCCTATGTGGTGTTGTTGCACAAGGTCACTCGGTCGGATGAACTTTCTATTTATATACGACGACTTTTCTGGTGTAGATTTCTTCCGCTGTTGTATCATCAAATTTCAATTGATCTGAGTCAAGACAGGTCTTTTTTTCAGTGGAATGAGTATCAAGGTAAGTGATTAGACCCGAGGGTCTCGCTCTGATTGCTCTCGAAAGACAAGCAAACATTCAAATGACCACTGAAATCATCGTCACTTGGACTCATACTGCGAATCTCACATCCCGATTTTGATATAACTTATCCGATTCCCTTGACTATCTCAGTGGAAGCCAAGTGAGTTTTCAAAAATACCCATACTTGCAAACACTAGATCTCGCTAACAGAGTTTGGCGTGGTGAACATAACCCGTTTGCACTTTTGCAAACTCATTCTGATATATTTTCACATGTTTATGATACTTAAATCCATCAATATTGTGTATTAAGCGTTCCATTCTTAGCGGGCTATATTACATCTCAACCTCGAGAAAAACGTGCATGCTCGAGCTTCTCGAAACAATGCTCGCGCTCGCCTACTTCATGTGGAGACAATCGGCTCAGTTAAATACTCGTCATTTTATCGAATTTCCGACCTGCTCGATAAATTTGTTCTAGAAGATAATAGAATGAATACAAGAAGCACAACTCTAGGGCCACGTCATGATCCAGGAAAGGTTATTTTTGGTTTGCCATATAGAGAATTCGAAGAGAGCACAGGGAAAGATAGATAATGGGGAAGACACCCTTAAACTCCTGAAACATAACCTATATATTTGCTTTATCGACACCATCTTTACAGTGTCGAAATCCCCATGGCTGTTCCAGGTGCCACAAATGACGTATCAGCAAGGAAATTCTCCTAGGACTATAGCCCCGTCAAGGCATGTATGCAAGTTGCTCCATGCTAGGTTTCAGAACTCTGTCATCGACGCAAATTTTAAATACCCAGAGGTTTACCTATGTACATACTATGTAGGTACCTAGGTAGGAACCTTCTGGTTCCAAGGTTTCATTTTTAAGGTTAATAATATGGCCGGCAGAATTACCTGTAAGCGGCGGTGTATAGGTAGGCCATAAAGAAAAGTCATCTCGCACACGGATCCACCTACAATTAAGATTGAAACTGGATTTGAGTACCTTGTTTATTTATCATAAAATGCTCCAAATTTTCACCCAATTCTGTGACTTTGGCCGAGTTGGTCTAAGGCGCCAGACTCAAGAGAATTTCCTCTTCACTGCTTACAGTGAGCATTCTGGTCTCGAAAGAGGCGCGGGTTCGAATCCCACAGGTCACATTTTTTGCATATCGCGTTTCTCTTTGCTTTTTTGGCCTCGGCACATTATGATCGATTGATCGAATTTCACATTTGGGGGTTTCTAAGACAGAGGGGTAACTCCAAAAAAAAAACAATATTCTGTGCCTGGTAGGCTTGGGATCTTATGATTTCCAGGGCATAGCCTACACCGAAGGCCGAAGATATATCCTTATGTCATAAATTCAACTACGTAACTACCTAGTTATATATATATATATATATATACATGGAAAAGCTCCTTTAGATGTTCTAATTTTTACCGTTCGACATAACGTATTTCACTACCGAGTGGGCCACCACTACCGAGTGGGCCACCCCATCTAACCTACCAATTTTAAATGCATTTATCTCAACCAAAACGCCATTAAATTAATTCAACTAACTAAGTGGTCTATCTGGACATGTTTCTCTTCTATGCCCTGGCAATCTGCATATTCCACACCCCCGGGGGGGCCGCGTACGTGGCTGAATAGTTGATTCTCTAGGCATGCCGGGGCCGGGGGGAGGTGCTTCAATTGCTTCTTGTTGCTGCATAATTAATGCAGAGGCTTCTTGAACTGAAAGGCCTTCTTCGGCGGGTATCTGCTTTCGGGATCGAGTACGCTTTTGCTTCTGCTTCTCGTTGGCGGCGCGTAATTCCTTGTTTTCTTTGGCGAGTAAGATAGCACCTTGCATTGTAAGACGGAAGCCTTTCACAAGCTGGTTTAATGCACGATCTGATGGGCTAGGCGGGCTTCGAGATCTTGTACGAAGTAAAGCTTTGATTGATGAAGCCTGACGACGTAGATCTTTCTCTGTAAAAGGGGTTTTTGGTGTAAAATTCCGGCTTGATTCACTACCCCGGCTAGCTGGGGGGTTGGAGTTCGAAGCCGAATATTGAGCTTTGAAATCACTCTCTCCGGTAAAAAGGGGACTAAACCGGCTGCTCCGAAGCTATTTTTAATAGTCTCCGATTTAAAAGCTTCAATTCGTGCGAGGGGGTATGCTTCGAGGAAGTCAAGCTTATCGATATGGTTGATCCCGTTCCGCATTTTGGTTTCAACCATCCGACCGTACAATCGTTTTAATACCGCAAAACAGCCAATATCCAGAGGTTGTAAAAGATGAGATGAATGTGCTGGCATATAGATTGGTATCACCTTATTTTGCTCACAAATTTCGTTAAATTTAGGCGTTAAATGACTTCCGTGGCCGTCAAGTACTAGAAGCCGATACCCCCCTTCGTACGCGCAGAAGTACTAGGAATAAAGAGCTTTTCTAGCCAACGGAGTCCAATTTTATCAGAGGTCCAGCCGTTAGGGCTTACTTCGAAACGCCAGTTCTCCGGAAGGCCTTCGAACCATGATTCAAGAAAGACTTTGCCTTTGAAAATCACACACGGAGGGAGGGCCCAACCTGAAGCATTCGTACACTCAATTGTAGTCACCCATTCACGATTTCCAGGTTGTAAAACTCCTCTTCGACTAGGTAAATCACTTCTCGTAATAACCTTCATAGTTGAAACCACTCCCATAGCGAAACCGGTCTCATCGAAGTTATAGACATCGTCGGGGTCGATTCCAAATTGAAGGATTGTCTTTTGAACCAGATTAAACCACTCTTGAATGATTTTCGGGTCTTCGCATTTCGCACGCTCGTAGTTATACCGTTTTGAGAATCGGGAGGAGAGGAGAGGATACCGTTGTATAAATTTCGTAACCCAGTTTTCGCCGACCGAAAGAACCGGGGTAGTTCCACGCTTTTGAAGAAGAAGATCCGCCATTTCTCGTACCATAGAGTGCCGGGGGGCCCCTCCACGAGAATCCATAGAGAGTATCCATTTTTGAAGAGATTCCTCCTCGAGTTCTGTTAATATATGACTATTGGCGCGTGTTTCAGGACGAAAGGTATCACCAGCGAGGCGGCGTTGTAAGGTAGAGCGGGGGACTTCGAAACGGCGCGCCACTTCACGAATTGAAGAGATTTCTTGATTCTTAAAAGCCTGGATAGCTAGTAAGATCCTACCCTCTTGCTCTATTGAATTTCTAGAGCGTTGAGAGCGAATTGGTGGCATGGTGGGTGGTTGAAGAAGAAGGGGTTAAATTAATTGACGCGTTTTGGATAGGTGGCCCACTCGGTAGTGGTGGCCCACTCGGTAGTGAAATACGTTATAGCCCGTGGTTAGTTATTCTAAATCGAGATCTCCAGGCATAAAAAAAAACATTTTACTGATTTAGTTTCTTTCCATATATGGTATCCCTATAACTCACAAGAAGCTCCTTTGATATCCAAAAATAGTAACATAAAGCGATGAATAGTGAGGGCAAGCCTTCTATCTATGTATTCTATGTCTAGAACCAAAAAAAACAGACATTCTAGTTGTCCACAGATATGTCAACATCACCCTCGCCATCCTCCTCGAGATCTTCAAAAAGTGGCATAAACTTCTCGTTATTAGCCTCAGTTTTTTCAGGAACAACATTCCCCTCTTGAACCTCACAATCCTTAAGCACCGAATCATTGCCAATACAACTACCGCTCCCAACCACACATCCAATTAACACACAGCGTTCTCCAATGACAACGTTATCAAGAATGACACATCTCGTAATTCGGGCACCACTGCAGATCTTGGAGTTTGGGCCGATACAAGATTCCTTTATAGCAGAACGTTTCTCAACGATCACGTTGGATCCAAGGAGACAGTCGGCCTTCGAAATAAAACAGTTTGAAGCGACACATTCAGGAGAGGCGATCTTTCTCTCGTGGGCGAATGGGGATCGATTAGCCGCATGGTCGACCTCCTCAATGGATTGTTGTTTGGCTAGACGAAGGGAAGTTGATAGGAGAAGAGCGGGATTGTCAATACGACGGACAAGTGGTGCAGATCCTGTATGCAGATATGCCAGGAGAGGTGGTACTTCCGAGACATCATTCTGTGGTGATTGGTGGGTGACAGTGCTCAATTCCCGGTAGTCGTTCTCTTGACTTTCTTTCTGCTGGCCCAAACAAGTATCCATTCCTAGCTTTTCATGTAGTCCACGCTGCCACCCAGACTTGGCCCAGAGCCCAATGAGATCTTCGCTAACAGACACTAGTCTTTCCTGACGTCGTGCGAGATCCTTGACCCAGTAGGGGAAAATGTAGAGGTGTGCATCACGGTAGCCAGTCAACATTTTGGCCTGTGTATCCTGCCGCCTCACAAAGGAATGACGAAGAAGAAAGCCTTTATCGTGTTCCATGTTGCTTTTCACAGTATCCATCCCCATAGACATGAGCAGTTTCGATACCCTGTGACCTGACCTTGCAGGTCCCTCGGTCTGCCGAAGTGGTTCAACAGCTACCAGATCCAACGACTCATCCTTTACAGCATCTTCTGCATGATAGTACATACAAAGGCCGCCTCGACGGTGTTTTACTTCCTCGGCCATTACGTTCTGTCCTTGAGACGCCATCCAAATTTGTAGCAGGTATGTACCCTTGACTTCACAGACGAGATCGCAAGGTAGGAGGAGGAAATCGGATTCTATGCCAGACTGCACTTCGGGAAGACGTAACAACTGTGCTGTTGCCATTGTTGATTGAAGGTCTTGAGGAGCGATGACTTTTGGCAAAGCGAGTGATTTCAAATAAGGATCTTGCTGTAAAGCAGATCTGATACGAGCAAGGGCAGAGGGAGGTGTGATCAGTGTGACATCTAAAACAATTATTAGACCCCAAAAGTAACTAAAAAGCGGTTTGAAGTCCTAGTGTTCTCTAACTCACCACTGATATTTGATATTTCACAGAACTTTAGCGGATAATATATCATCGGTCTGTTGGCGATTAGGGCAAGACATTTTGGAGTCTTCTCTTGAGTAAGAAGAGTTCCAAATGAGTTTCCAGGACCGCATAGAATCAGAGCTTGAAGCCCAGCTCTAGACAGAGTAATATCCATGGTTTTTCGATGAACTATAGAGCGATTCCTCGACGTAGCTATTGAAAAGATAATCGATTAAATGACGAATACCATTTCAAATAAAACTTCACAAGCACTGATATTTACACATACGGGAATACTACTCAATATATACGATGAAAATCTCGATATGTGTCTACTTCTTTGTTGCTAGAGGTGATTCAGATGAAAGACAAGTGAATCAAAGAATGGATGGCTCCGACCCCGGGCGGAGTTCCCCAAATTACATAATCACCGATGTACCGGGCCGAGGTTCGTGCGGAGAGAACCCCGTTCCAAGGTTCTTGTTACAACATATATTGGAAGCATAAACACATCGTAGAATAATTGCACTTGAACCAAATTTGACCATTCCATCTGAGAAAAAAACAGAAAATGGCCACCCCAGAGGTCCAAGCCAAGAAGCAACGCAAGCGCAGCGACTATGGGTTCCACCAAGTACACCAGACCCGATGGTCAGTACAGGATCTCCGAACTAGCAACCCGACACCGACGCTAACACCAAACCGATAGGTTCGACAATGATATGTACGCGCACCTCAACAACGCAGTGTACACACACCTCTTCGACACAATCGCAAACACGTACCTAATTCAGCACTGCGGCATGGATCCCTTCAGCGTGAACAACCCAACCCCAGCACCGACTGACGGCCAGCCCTCCAATTTATCCTCTCCAGCGAACCTAGCAGTTGGCGCCGACCAAATAGGTCTAATTGTATCGACGCACGCTGATTTCTTCGCCTCAGTGCGCTTCCCGGATCTGCTTGAGGTCGGGCTACGTGTTAATAGGCTCAGCAAGTCTAGCGTTACCTGGGAAGTGGGTATTTTCCGCAAGGGAGAGGAGGATGTTAAGATGGTTGGGACTTATACCCACGTGTTTGTATTGAGGGAGACTATGCGGGTTGGAAAGATGGGGATGGAGGAGCGGACTAGAAAGGGCTTGGAGAAGTTGCTTGTTAGGGCCGAGGCGAAATTGTGAGGGATAGAATGCTGGCTGGGCTTGGCTGGGCTTGTACATAGTTTCCTTATCAGAATAATCTAGATAGCCCCTTGCATTTCAAGGCAGTCGTATAATCCCGGGCTTTCCGTCCCGAGGGATTGGGATTCTAGACCCGAGGTTGATCGAATGATCCCCCCAGGAATTCGAGAGAAATAAGCGAGATGTAGCCTGGCCAAACGCCCCGATTGGTATTGATGATCATCTTAGGAATGTGAGACGCCGATGTGAAGAAAAGACAAAAACGTGTGCCGTGTAGATCAAGAAGATCATCCAAACCCCTGAATCATTAAAAAGTCTAATCTAACCTGAGATCTATAAGACAAAAAGGAAACCGAAAACATATCCATCACCGTAACATAAAATCGAAACCAAGAACTTTTGTGGGTTATCATTAGAATAAAAGAGACACGCTAAATCGCTTCGCAAGATCGAAAAAGCGCCAACAGAATGGGTATACATGCATGATGGAAATTCCAATCATCATTAGAAGAGTTGTCATCTGACAATCTCAAGGGTTGTGGGTTGAGGAGACAGGCGGCTCAGTCAAATTTGCCAGCGATGATACTGCTGCAACGGGATACGTTGGAACTGGTAGGAGGCGAAGCACCCCGGCGCATGGTGTATCCATCTTCATCGAGCCACCACTTGGGGTAAGGGCCAAGGATGAAGTTTCCCTCGGCATCCCAGCCGGCAACCCAGTGGATGCCGTCGTCGAGGAGGAAAAAGCGCAGCTTTTCCGGACGGCCGCCCTTGTGCAACGGGGCATCAAAGAAGCGGCAACGTTCATCCAGCTCGGACTCAAACATATAGCGGTGGAGGATGCGGCAGTAAACTAACGCAGCAGGGACTTTTTCATCGTTTTCGCACCCATCCCGATGGATGAGGTGCCATCCGCGACCCGGGAAGAACTTGTATGTTCCGGGGACGGGAGATTCCCAGTGTTGTTCCTTGAGATTGCTGTCGCGATCACCCTTCTGGAACCAGTAGGTAGGGCAGAAGAGGGTGCGCGCACAGAGGAAGAGGTTGGGGGCCATGATTGGGGATGGTATCAAGATCCAAAAAAAAGGATATGTGCAAGGATGACTTGTCCACAAAAAAAATCGAGGGAGAAGTGCAAGTTGATATAGAAACAACACTCAAGTGCAAAGAATCTCAAGGGTTATAGGGTATATTATAAGTCGACAGCCATGGCGAAAAATAATAATAAAAATATCAATCAATCAAAATCCAAGTTGAGATGGGAATTTGACGGGTCTTCCGGGATCACAAAATCACGGTGAAAGACCCCTGAGAAGAGAAGTTCTCGGGAGACAAAGAATGTGGAACGGAAAGCACACTTGGCACGGGGTTGTGACCAGAGGCAAGGACTGATTGAGAACCTTGGAATGTCCAATTCAAACAGCACTGGCCAGACAGCAAGGTGTTTCCGTTATCGATGCGGTGAGTAGGGGTTGGCGTGTTTTGAGTTGAGAAAGGGGGTCGTGATAAGCTTGCAGCTTTGGACCTCTGAAGGAATAGCTTTGTGTCCCAGATAACGGGGAATAAAGATGGAGGGTAGTAGGCGAATGGGGAGGGTTGAAAAGAGCTTGGACTTGTCGCAATCGGCAAGACGCAGGAGCATGCACAAGCACGGCCGGCCGATGTTAGAGCTCAAAAAGAGCGTGTGCTAGAGATTTGGCATTTAACTGGAGGAATGTCGCCATGGTGATTTGAATGGGGAAGTTATATATAAAATAGTCAAGAATGTGTGCTAGGATATATTTGGCGGTCAGATGTGGAACATTATGAGAAAAGTCTATCGACCCTCTTTTTACCCTTGCCATATTTTTGCCCCATCAGGTTAAGCCACAACGGGTAGCCTCTAGACTTTCCCGCACTTTATCCGCCTTTCGAGTGGCTGAAATGGCTGGAAATGACAAAAAAAAGTGTGGATTATGTCACCCGTGGGCTGCTGACCTGAGAGATTTTCACGTGCTCGGACCAACCGACTCTTGGCAAATCTCATCATTTTGGCTTACGGGGTTTTTTTTGGCTCTCATGTTATTGTCCTGTTTAGGGATCACTTGGCTTTTCAACGTCATAGCTCTCCAATGTAGTAGTCTACGGCTTTCGCGGAACCTCTCAAGGTTTCATGACTCAATAGTTATAAAGTCTCAAGCACTTGGCGCACATTCCCGACAGGAAATTTCCAGGCTGCAAAATTCTTCGTGGCGCAGTTCTCGTGGTTCAGCCCTATAATATGTACGATGTTTCTCGGCATTGTCCTGGCTTACAAGTCTGGCCGGGTTATATTCTAGCCTGGTCTATTTGAAGCCAATGGCTAGTTTTTTCATTCCTTAGTGGATTTTTATTTCCACAACATTCGATTATCTGTGATCCATCAGCTTCGCTATGACCGGCATAGTTGATATATTGCGTGATGATGTGATGACTGCATGCCGCACATTTACATATATCAGTATTCAGGCTTCAGATATCCCTGTCCATGCATAATCAGTCCAACTTGTCAACAAACCAGAGATCATTGCGGTGCCACCTGGTCTAGAGCCTCGCAGCCGTAGGCGATCGCCAAGCAGATCCTTGCTAAATTTGCAATATGACATGACGCATGGCGGTTACGATAATAGAAACCCCCGGGAAAAGGAAATTGACCGTTTGTCAAAATGAGTCTAGTGCTAACTCATTGATGTAAGATAATGCGAGACCAATCTCTTTTGACTTCTGAACCCTAGTCTTTTGTTTTGTTTTTCGTGCCCTCGAGCCCCTTTTGGGTCAGCCTTCTTTCAAATTGCCCAAGTGTGATAATTCTACCTCATTCATTTCATTCGCCCATAGGGTGCTAGCCTTTTCGTTTTTCCTATGGATTACACGGGCCAAGCTTAACTGGAGCTCATTAAGTTGAGTATATGGTAAGTCTGAATTTTATTGGTGACACATCAACTAGCCCGTAGACCAATACTGTTGACATATTATTAATGTCGTATGTGATTTTGGGCTGTGTTCCAACTAGAAAATCTTGATCAAGCCTAAAGCGGGATTCTAGACCACCACATTAGGGCAATAAGCATCCTTAGCCGACAGAAATCACTAGCATGTATCTAAATAGAAGCAAATCATCTTCTGACCTGCTTAGTCTTACTTTCGTGGCCAGCTCTAGACAATTTAGAGCTGTAGGCGTTGGTAATGTGCTGCAAATTGGCGTTGCAATGAGTACATACGTATAGGATACTATACGTACCGGATTTTAACGAGATAGCATAAAAAGAGGCCGGATTTCTACAAAATAGAAATTTTAACGCACGCTGAAAAACCTCCACTCCTATGGGATTAGGCTTGGATATGTTTCTATTATTTACAAACAAATTAGAGATAATCACCTACTTACCTATGTTGTCTAGCTCGAAGGATAAACCAACTTCAAGACCTTGACCTAAAACCTACCCTACTCCGAGTATACAGGCCAGGTCTAAGTTATAGGAATACTAAGTCGCGTGGAAACATATTCTTCTGTGCGTTCCCAGAGACACACTAATATCTCACTCCGAGCTCTCTGCCTCCACTCACACCCGCAGGATTCTCACCATCAGCGACATAGTGGCGATAGCTTTTCTCCCCCATGAGCGCCATTTCTCTGCCCAGGCCCAAATCACCTACGCCACTAGCCCCGCTATCCTCCACAGCGGTGACGCCACCAATCTACCAGGGCAGCTTTTCGGGGTTCTCGATGTTGTCTGAGCTATGCACCAGCCGGATCGAAATCGACCTGGCACCACCGCACCGATGCACACCACGGTAAATGCATCGAGCTGGTTTGTTCATCGCGACGTTCACGCAAGCTACAGCGACAGACCCAGCATGCATGCGAGATAGATACTTAACAAGACGGATATGAGTACCGCGCTGGCGTGAGGTATATCCGAAACCTGTTGGTCAGCCTCTATGTCTCAGTTAAATTTTATTCCTGCCTGTAATCCAGCCTGGGAACTCTACATCCACAAGTCCTACATCTGGAAGCGACGCGGCAAAGAAGGCATCTTGTCTGCGCCTGGGACTTGGGCGATTGACTCTTTTTTGATGCCGCTCGTCGGTGACAAAGATTCAGGCGTAATCAGCTGCGAACATCTGCTACCTGAATTTGATGCTGGCATCTTTGACGCACTGATCTACATCCATTGATATAGATTGGTAGTCTACGCCCAGGAGTAGTTTGATAAAGGGAAGGATGTCTACATATACAGCCTCCCTATTCAGAACCGGCATGATACGCTTTATATTGAGATAGGATCTGGCGCCGAAGAGAACTAGGGTGGTGCTAAGAAGAGAGCCCTTGTTCATGCCTGCTGACAGAAAATGAGCAGGAGTGGGAGCGTGGTGATGCATCGGGTCATTCCAACATTTGTCGGCTAGCACCCTGCTCTGTCTTAACTGGCGGAGAAATGCTACTGCTGCGCATGGATAGACGATCGAAGCTAGTGACATGGTGAGCAGCGAGGCCACGGAGTTGCAGACTCGAGCAGCCCGGAAATCGCGCTCGCTTTGGGCAAACATACTCATTGTGTCGTACGGGTAATTTGCGAATTTTGGTTCGGATTGAAGGTTGACAGCGTAGCTTCGAGCTCCGGTGGGCCAGTACACAAGACCGCCCAAGCAAAGAGCGCAATCACTGTGTCGGCCAGGGCTAGGAACACGATATATGGCGCGCACTGGAGGGTGCCAGATGGGGTTAGACCTGCCTACGTCTTCTTTTCACTCGATAATCTCGCCCAATCCCTCATAAGGTCTGGGTAGAGGGGAAGTAAGCTCTCGGATCCAATCCTTCTGCCATGACTTGATGTTGGCCATTGAAAATTGCTTATATGGAAGATCTATGGTCGTGTTGAACGAGAAGCATTCTTCGTGTCGATTCTTGCCGCTGAAACTTCAGGGTTCCACAGAATGAAGATCATCGTCTGCTCAAACTGCATATCCCACCCAGGCGACGCCCCCTGAACAGTATCACATTTGGTTAATAGTCGTTGGCCGAAATTCGAGATCAGAATAAAATATTCTGATCAAAATGGACCATATATTTGCTGGATTACTTTGGAAAACCAGACCGGTATGAAGTCGATGGGGCAGGCTATGACTCTTCTATGAGTAAATGGCGGCAAAATGTCATTTCGCCGAACCATTGAAATCTTCTACCAGAACTTTTTCGCAAATAAATATAAAGCAAATCCAATGTAAGAAATATTGAAATTTGAGCTCATTAATCTTATCATGTCCCTCACCTTCGAATGCATCCCCCTCACAGTGGAAGGTGTTAGCCTCAACCTATCAACGATCCATAGCCTCAATTCAAACCCACCAATTTTCTTCCTCCACGGCTTCGGTTCCAGCAAAGAAGATCTCGCCGATCTAAAGCTCCAGCCAACCCTAAAGCACCAGCCAACCCTAAAGCACCATGGCTTCATTGCCTATGATGCCCCCAGCTGCGGCCACTCAGCAAGCAACAACGACTCCGCAACAGATATCCCGTTCCTCGTGGCGACCGCCGAAGCCTTCCTCGCGCGTTTCAATATAGACAAATTCCACCTAATAGGCCACTCAATGGGTGGGTTAACAGCCCTCCTCCTCGCAAACCAACATCCAACCCGTGTCCTCAGCTTTGTGGATATCAAGGGAAATCTCGCACCAGAGGATTGCTTCCTCAGCCGCCAGATCTTCATGTTCCCAGCCGATGACGGAGATGCGTTTATGGAAGCTTTTATTGAGCGCACACGCACATCGGGATCGTTTGCTAGTGCGATGTATGCTAGTACTCTGCGTGTCCAGGTCCGAGCTGGTGCGGTTCGGCCCATTTTTGAGTCCATGGTGCAGTTGACGGATCATGGGGACTTAATGGATAAGTTTCTGGCATTGTCCTGTCCACGCATGTTTATGTTCGGGGAGGAGATGCGTGGCTTGTCGTATCTGCCGTTGTTGGAGAAGGAAGGTGTTGAATTGGCCGATATCGTGAGCGCTGGGCATTTCCCTATGTATTCTAACCCTATAGAGATGTATCGCCGCATCTCGGGGTTCTTGGATCAGTGTGGATAGCGAGACTAATACTGTAGATAGAATTAGAGGTAAACATAATGGACATAGAGGCCGAGCCTTCTCCTCACCTGCAACCAAGGTTGGAATACTTCATATTTAGTAAGACGCTTTTTCGGCCTCAGGCCAGAAAAATGTACATAATTTAGGCGTCGAAGAAGGTTGTCCTTGGACATAATCAAAGCTATCACCCCGAAAGTCACCTCGATATTGACGGAATTTACATAAACAGAATCGCCAACTCGGTATTTTGCATATTTGCGCTGTTTTATGAATTCCACTCAGCTCAGCTCCAAGTGCGGTATTAACAATAGCCTGAGGTCCGTGCTCCAGGCACACTGCATTGTAGACTGTGGTGAGACCCATTGGCAAGTTCCGGTGATAAAGCCATATTATATGGATTGTGACTTGATACGCTGCAAATGATATCACTACGATCCAAACGGATGACCACGGTACATCATGCGACGAGTTACCTCATTCTTCATCGAACATGATGATCCCGGATCATCCGGAATCTGCGATGAACTTCAGGTGTTCAACGATACTGATCAGATGTTCCAGATTTCGGTAAATAAATTGCTCAAAACTTGAGCAAAAGGAAGGTACATCGTCGGCCTCCGTTGGACTTCCGCACCTGAACTAACCACAAACAGTGCGGTGCATCAGGTTTTAGATTTCATATGCACTATCAGCAAGTTCGGATACTTGAGACAAGCTTTTGCCGAGGTTTATGTGGACCGCCGATGAAATGGGGACTGACTTTAGTGGCCATTCGTAGAGGTCGTACGGCGGCGAAGCATTGGTTTTCCGTAAAAAGATGGGGTTATGTTACATTTGGCGTGTTGGTGGCTGATTGATAGCTCGCTTTTTACATATTGCACGGACTGTTATTAGCTCCAAGAAAGATCCACGCAATTTAGATGTCTTAGTGCTTTAGCAGTATTGCCATTTCCTGTCAACAATAGACTTTGTCTGTTCCCTGTATATGAAGAGAGCAATGTTATCCTCGGAGAAACCCATTCCTTTTCCTATATTCCTCTAGAATTTGATCAATCATATATAATTTATAGAGATTATCCTTTTCATCATGGCGGACAAGATCTCCGGTGCCACCATAAGTGCCGCTGCCGATGCTCATCAGGACAAAGGAGAAAAGATGGAGGACACCAAGGAGGGCAGCGTCTTTGTTCCTCATGAGCCTCCGACTGATTTTATTCATGGCAACCACTCGATGTACTCGGATTCTAGCATCACTTTTGAGAGCTATGTCTACTGGGCCAAGCGATCGCGCGAGGTTGAGAAGAACATTTCGACCGACGATGCCGGGTTTGCGCACTGGCGCAAGAAGTTTTTTAGCAAAAGGTCTGATGCTACAGTACAGGATGCCCCTGTCGTGACTGAGTCCAGCGCCAAAACTCCCAGCAAAACGAACAGCGATAGCACAGCCGATGATTGGGGCATCACCGAAACAGAATGGGAACAGGCACAGCGGGCTGGGCGAACTGCAACCTGGGGCTCGATCTTCTATCTAATTACCACAGACATCTTCGGACCGATCAATGTCCCCTGGGCAATCAGTCAGATGGGCTACGGGCCAGGAGCTGCACTTTACACTGTTTTTGGCGCCATGGCTTCTTACTCCGGCATGCAACTGTGGAGGATATTCGTCGGTCTTGACTCGACTCGATTCCCGATGCGCAATTATGGCGATGTGGCATTCCGTGTCTATGGAAATTGGGCGCGCATTTTTGTGAACATCCTACAAAGTTTCCAGTTCTTCCTCAATGTCTCCCTGCTCATTGTAAGCAACGGACAGGGACTGGCGCAGATGGTTGTTGGGGCCAATGGTCAGGGATTCCTGTGTTTCATTGCTGCTGAGGTTATCTTCATGGTCATCGGCTTTGTATTTGGACAGATCCGTACCCTGCAACGTCTTTCTTACCTGGCTAACATTGCGATCTGGCTGAATGTCATTGTCATCATCATGACTATGGCTGTGGTTCGTCAATATCCCCCGAACTACGCCGCATCATTGACTAGCTATGATACTCCAAAGGGACCTGTGAAGACGAGCGGCTACTGGCCTGAGAACTCAACTCTTAAAGACAAAATCAATGCTATGATGAATGCTATTTTCGCATACGGTGGTGCGACCCTCTTCAATGAGCTCATGGCTGAGATGAGACGGCCATATGACTTTTGGAAGGGGTTTATCATTGCCGAGATATTCATCTACTCCTGTTATCTTCTCTCGGGCATGGTTGTTTACAGTGCGCAGGGCCAATTTACATTCAATCCTGCTTACCAGGGTAAGCCGCATAGTATCCAAAGGAAATTCTGAAGTTGCTAATAATCCCATAGGTATTCCAAATTCCGCCTACAAGTTCCAGACTTTAGGCAATGCCATCTCATTTATCACCGGCGTCATCGCAGCATTGCTATATGGTAACATTGGAATCAAAGTCTTCTACAACGTCGTGCTACGCGATGTCTTCCATTTCCCGGACTTGAACAGCCGAACAGGCAAATTACTGTGGATTGGGCTAGGTAAGTTAATGTCTATTCCCTAAGGCTTCATCTGAACTGGAAGAATCTAACAATCTCTCTAGCGCCTGCCTACTGGGCTGTCGCTTGGGTGATAGCGGCTGCAATCCCGCAAATTAGCAATCTAACATCCTTCGTGGGAGCCGCCTGTATCCTGCAGTTTTCTTTCACGTTCCCACCGATGTTGCTTGTTGGGTTTAACATCCAGAATGACGCGATACTCCCCGAAGAAGAGTTCAATCCTGCAACTGGCCAGGCACAGCGCTTGGATAGTGGAATCAAGCGATGGATCAGAGGTTACAAAAAGAAGTTTGTGTGGAACACCTTCGATGTAATCTACGCGCTTGGTGCGTTGGCTGCCGCTGGTCTGGGAATTTGGGCTTCAGTTACTTCGATGCACAAGGCATTTGGGGCGGGTAAACTAACCCCTTTCACTTGTGCAAACCCAGCTGCATAAACCATCGGGGTTTAGGGTTGGGGTACAACGCTGGGAGCTTGTTCTGAACATTGTCAGGTTTCATTGGTCAATGAGTGCCTGTCGGAATATTTGTGTTTTCCCCTTTCTCTTATAGGTTTCAGCATCTCCCTACTCACTTATAGGTCCCGATATTCACTATAATAATAAAGAGCAAGCCTACAGGCACACTGTTTTTGCTTGCGGTACACTACATGCCAGCACCTTTAAGTGTGTCTATCGCTGGCCGCCACTCCTACTTAACTAGCTCGTGTAAATGATTGGACATAGAATTGTTGTCTGCGCACTTTATGCTTTTCCTCGCTTTGTCCTATCGTCTAACTATTAAACCGAGAAAAGGAAAATTTTTTCTACAAAAGAACCGCCAAAAAGAACCATAAGCCATAAGGCCGCATAAGCGGCTGACTATTCTAAATGGATATAACTACTTATGGATGTCATAGGCGTCCAGGATACTATAGTGGTGCCGCAAAAAAAGAATTGTGCCCGTAGTCTTAATAATATGAATGCTTAGGTATTTCATCGTTCGTCTGTGCTATATTTGTGTTTGCATATCCTAGTTATAGGGGTATAGCTCGTAAACCTAAAAAGGAAAGAGAAGATGAAATGAGAGTTGGGAACTAGATGTCGTAATTTTGATCAGAATAACTAGCTAGGCTTAGATACACACACTATAAAATTCGAATCGAATCTCAGGAAGCAAATGGACATAACGCTGACATGGTCCAACCGCTTTTATCTCTTCACATAATCCTCAGTCTCAACAACCTGCTCGTTATGATCCGAGGTAGCAGCGCCCTCAAATGAAAGCTTCCTTTCGAGATCGGCAGTTCTAACATCCCGTAGTTTACCAAATGCATGGAACTTCTCGAAGAGGACATCCATCTCCTCGAGGGAGCGACCCTTCGTTTCTCTGACGATGAGGAAAACCCAGACAGACATGGTAAAGCAGAAGACACCGAACATGATGAATGTCCGCCAGCCAAGGTTGTTGATGGCGGCAGGAGTCACATAAGTAACGACAAAGTTGAAGAGCCATTGGGTTGCGGATCCGCAGCCGACACCGTACGCACGAAGGCGAGTTGGGAAAATTTCAGAAATGTAAACCCATGGAATCGGTCCCCATGATGCAGAGTAACCAATGACATATAGATAGATCATGACAATCATAGCCATAGACGCAGATGAAATGCCACCACCACCATCAGGGTCCGGGGGGTAGGACACCAGAACACCACCCAGGATAAACATCATCGTGGCCATCCAAAGGGCTCCAGCGATGAGAGACCACCGCCGACCAACCTTGTCGATACCAATGATGAGGAAGATTCCGGTCGCCACGACCTTGACAATACCATAGATACCGGTTGTGAACAAACTCGTGTTACCGCCAGCCACTCCAACAGTTTGGAATAGTTGAGGAGCGTAGTATCCGATACTGTTGGTGCCGGTCCACTGCTGCCAGAACATAATCAAGAAACAGTTGATAAAGCGGATGCGGTTTCCAGGAAGGAATGGCTCTCTCCATGTAAGACCCTCTGTTGATTCGACTTCGTGGTCCACGGCGGCTTTGATTTCTGCCATCTCGAGTTGGACCTCCGGGCTGGTAGTTGATTCGGAGCGCATATAAGCAAGGGCTTTGATTGCCTCATCCAGGCGGTTTTCTTTAGCCAACCAACGGGGGGATTCGGTCAAGAAGAACATGCCAATCATCATAAGACCACCGGGCACAAGCTGGAATGCAACAGGGATACGCCACTGCATGGTTGTGGGGGCGATTGTTTCGGCTACACCATAGCAAAGCCAGTATGCGACGGTCACACCAATGACGAGGAATTCCTGGAAGAGACCAGCAATACGGCCACGAATCGCCGGGGGACAGTTCTCAGACACGAAGACTGGAGTGATGGCTGACATGCCTCCGACTCCGAAACCTGCAATCACTCGTCCACCGTACATATAAGATAGCGAGCCGTGGGCGGCGGTTTGGACAGCAGAACCGATAAGGAAGAACATGAGGAATCCCATGATGGAATAGCGACGGCCAAACTTCTCATTAGCAAAGGCACCGGTGATGGCGCCGAAGAAACATCCGGCAGTGAGAAGTGAAACGACATTCGATGAGACTTGAGCATTTTTGGCATCTGAGAACCCAGAAGCTCCAGGCTGAAGTCCAAAATCGGCCTTGAAACTTGGAAGTTCCAGCACACTGCCCATCACACCCGTGTCATATCCTTAAGGAAGTTATCAGTATACTGGTATTTAATAGCCAATGGAGAGAAATTTGTCCTACCGAATAGGAATGAACCCGTATACGCCACTGTGGCGAGCGCATACACGCGACTATTCTTGAATATGCCCATCTTGTCGGACTCCCTGAGTATGAAGTTAGAGAGAAAGATTCGGGGTCAGGACTAGATTTATAACTACAACTAGAGCACAGATACCCCGCGGGCTCCGCATATCTCCATAATTCTTGTAATTATGCATATTGCAAGATTCTGTACTCCGTATGCATCTTCTAAATTTCATAATTGTCTGGGGGAAAGTGTACCCCGGATCCATCGTGCCATGGGGTTCAATCGCCGACATTGTGGAGTGGATCTGTACATACTACCTTAGGGAAATGACGTTGATCTACATTTTGTGGTACCTTATATGGTATACTGTCGGAGAAATTATGTTAGAAAGAATTTTCACACCAATCACCACCAATCTGGGCAATTCTTAAGAGAGACAGGGAAAGTATGGCGGGGGACTACAAAGGCTCGGCAAAGCCTGGGCCAGTTACGGGCGATAGCCGAAGCCGAATCACCCTTTTTACAGCCACAGTCTCTTGGTGTTCTCTATTTTGCTCTCCATTTCTTCCAATTCAACATTACTACAAGCACAGCATTGCTTCATGCGTCTCTTCGGTATATCTGGGTAGTAACCCGGACTTGATATTGCCAATTCTAGGCATCTGCCAAGCCTCCCGGGGTCGGCTTCCCATGAGTTTTGTTCAAATGCCGACAACGAGCCCACCCGACGGGTATATACCCAAATGTGCGAACGAGGTGTGAACGAATCAGCGAATTCAGAGAACTCAGATGGCACCCGTGGACGTACGGTACGGATTAACGGCATTATGAGCTTCGTTATCTCCGCATTTACCGTAGTTTATTCCCCCACACCCGCTTTTTTTTCTCCACAGAGGGTAAATATTACCAGTGTTAATATCAATGCCGGAAAAAACCGCGAGCAGAATCAGTCAGAGCCTCAATGGTTATGCCGAGGATCCCAGCGCTGCGCAACACGTTGATACTTAACAGCATCACGTAGAACCATACCCTCATTCAACTGATCAGTCTCCCGTCGGAAGATCTCTTGCCACGGCGTTTGGCTCTCAGGAACAGAGAACCCACCCCGAGCTTTAAGCTCCTCACGACGACGCTGGAGTTCCTCATCTCCAATCAAAATGTCAACCCGTCGCTTATTCAAATCTACCCGTAGCCGATCGCCGTCGCGAAGAACCGCCAGGTTCCCGCCCGCTGCCGCTTCGGGGCTTGCATTCAGGATGGAAGGCGAGCCAGATGTACCGGATTGGCGCCCGTCACCGATACAGGGAAGTGAGGTAATTCCCTGCCGCAATAAACGTGCTGGGGGGTGCATGTTGACCACCTCAGCGGCGCCCGGGTAGCCCATAGGACCTGCGCCACGCATAACTAGGATACTTCTATCGTCGATTGGTGTCGCGGGATCGTCAAGACGGCTATGGTAATCCTCGGGTCCGTCGAAAACCACGACAGCACCCTCGAATGCGTTGAGGTCGTCTGGATTCTCGAGAAATCTTTGCCGGAAGGCGGGTGATATCACGCATGTCTTCATGATCGCTGAGTTAAATAGAGTGCCTTTTAGATGCAAGAATCCGGCATCTTTCATCATGGGTTCGGTATACGCTCGGATGATCTGCCGATTCCAGGTGTGCTTCCCGCGCACATTTTGCTCCACGGTTTTTCCATTGCAGGTTAGTGCATCTGGGTGTAGTTTCCCGGCGTCTAGTAACTCTGCCATAATAGCAGGGAGACCACCGGCGCGGAAATACTCTTCTCCTAAGAATTCGCCGGCAGGTTGCATGTTCAGGAGTAGAGGAATGTGGAACCCGATCTCGTCCCAGTCGTCGAGAGATAGTTCGACACCGACGTGTTTGGCCATGGCATTAATATGTATAGGAGCGTTTGTGCTCCCGCCAATAGCAGTATTTGCGGCTATAACGTTTTCGAATGCTTCCCGTGTCATGATATCGCTAGGCTTGCGGTCTGCGTGGACCATCTCGACGATACGCTCGCCGGTCTCATAGGCGCATTGGCCACGTTCCCGGTATGGAGCTGGAATTGCTGCTGAGCCTGGGAGTGCCATTCCTAGTGCTTCTGCTAGTGCGTTCATGGTTGATGCTGTGCCCATAGTATTACAATGGCCGACAGATGGTGCTCTGTATAAGATCAGTATATGCCTTTTCCCCCACAATTTTGCCTTCAATCCTAGCAGAAACATACCCACGAGCCACATAATCCATAAATTCCTCCCGATTCATCTCACCGGCAGCATACATCTCTCGTCCCTTCCATACTACCATTCCAGATCCCGCAAGATCGTTCTTAAGATAGCCGTTCAACATCGGACCAACATTCAAACAGAGGGCCGGGATATTCTAATCACGGAACCTATCAGCTTTATCATCGACAAGAGGACAACAAACCCCCAGAACCTAAACCTACCACAGTAGCAGCCGCCATCAACGCCGCAGGCGTCGTCTTATCACAGCCAGTCAAAAGCACAACCCCATCCAACGGATAAGCATACAAAATCTCCACTAAACCAAGATATGCAAGATTGCGATCCAAACATGCTGTCGGTCTCCGAGAGCTCTCCTGAATCGGATGCGTAGGAAACTCCAACGCAATCCCACCAGCACTGCGAATGCCCTCACGCACCCGTTTCGCCAACTCCAAATGGTGTCGGTTACAAGGGACGAGATCAGAGCCCGACTGCGCAATGCCGATAATTGGCTTCCCGGACATGAGCTCCTCACGCGTCAGTCCATAGTTCAGATACCGCTCGAGATACAGCGCTGTCATGCCCGGGTTTTCGTCGTTGTTGAACCATCTTGTTGAGCGTAACTTGCGTTGTGGTGCTGCAGTGCGGACTTGGAGGGCTGCTAGGGTTTTTTCTAGATCGTGGGTCCGTTTGCGGAGGGCGAGTAGCTCGCTTTCGCAGTCTTCAATGTTTGGAGGGGGTTTATTAGTGCAGGAACAGCCTTCGCAGGAGGGTTTGGTGTTGCATGACATCGGATTTGGCCGGCGATCTTATGGGGATTATATACTATTGAGGCTGGGATTGACAGGGCTGTAGAGGAAGTATCTATAAGAAAGAAAATCCGACCTGAAGAAAGGGAAGCCGACACCGAAGCCGAAAAGGTACGTACCGGGACCGACCCGGAAGTCCGGCATTTCGGCCCCGGATTTGGTCTGATAGATTGAATAGTATGTCTATTCGTCCCGATGTTAGTACACAAAGAACCAGACGAATAGATATGAATACATATTGTATAGAATATCCAGCCACTATCCACACTGATCCACTGCAGAATGAATGAAACCGGTTATGCCCTACGTCGATGTACATTAGTCTACCTTGTGTTTTAGAGTCAAGAGGGTTGTTCTATTCACAAATACCCTATTAATACAAAGCCCCAGACGCCGTCTATGCAAGAGGGATTCTACTGCGCTGCGCACTGCGCTGGTTCATCGTCGTCTTCCTCGTCTTCCCATTCCTCGGCGCCGTGGCCATCCTGCGCACCGAATTCTTCAATCCGACCCTTGGGGTCGTATTCAACTTCGTCCACGGTCTCAGCCTTGAGAGGAGGGCTGGGCTTAGGGAGGATTTCCTTGAGCTTCTCCATCATCTCTGGAGTGGGCTGCCACTTGTTATCGGGGAACTTGACATCAACAACCAAGTACAGGTCGCCACGGGCATCAGTACGCTTCACTGGCATTCCCTCTCCGGGGACCTTGAGGACCTGTCCGGGTGAGAGGACAGCGCCGGCGGTGAGGGGGTGCTTAAGCTCAATGCCACGGCCATCGAGGTGCTTGATCACGACGCGGGAGAACCCGGTCAAGGATTCAGCAAGAGTGACTTCAATAGTTGCACGGAGATCCGAGCCAGATCGTGAAAACACGGGGTGTTCTTCCTCAATGATTTTGAAAACAATGTCGCCGGGCTCTTGATCAGGCACCTGGTCGGCCTCGCCTTCCAACACAATCCGATCACCTTCCCTAGAGCACAGTAAGTATGTAGTTCCGTTAGATGATAGGAAAAAAACGCCGTCTTACCTCGCGCCTCGGGGGATGTAGATCTCCAAGATCTTCTTCTCCTCGGTCGTTTTTGTGCCCTTGCACTTCTTACACTTATCCTTCGGGGCGAAGTATGAGCCTTCTCCGCTACATGTGGTACAGACAACCGTCTGCTGGGTCATAAAATTGCCCATGCGCTGCAAGACCTCCTTGTGGCCATGGCCACCGCAGGTCGCGCACTTTTTGGCAGTGGCCTTTTCCTTACCACCCTTGCCCTTGCAGTGTCCGCAAATGATGTTCTTGACGCTGGAAAACCTCACAGTCTTGCCCTTGTATAGATCCTCCAGGCTGACTTCGTAATCTTGCTCTTCGCTAGGGCTCTTGCGTGGTTTGTTGGGACGACCACCTCCGGGCATTCCTCCCATTCCTCCCATACCGGGCATGCCGCCCATACCACCCATGCCAGCACCGAACATCTGTGCCAGCAAGTCATCCAGGTCAGGTTGTCCTGCCATGCCGGGCTCGCCTGAGCCGTTGAAGGCAGACATGCCGTGTGTGTCGTAGAGGTGTCGCTTGTCATCGTCGTAGAGAATATCATAGGCCTCCTGCACAGCCTTGAACCTGATTGAGGCTTCCTCGCGCTCGGATTCGGGGACTTTGTCGGGGTGATTAGTCAAGGCTGCCTATTAGAAAACCGAGTCAGTCTCGCTGGAATACACAGACGATCGGGATTTGTCTTGCCTTGCGGTATGCCTTGCGGATGTCATCTTTGGTTGAGCTCTGATGGATCTCTAGGACCTCTGTATAAATAAATAACTGATCAATATGGTGTTTCTTTTATAGTTGATCCGTGCAAACGAGCACATACCATAGAGGTCAACTCCAGCCGTAGCCACTGAGAAGATTGTTAGTAGAGTCAAAGAAAAACACGACTTTCCAACGTACTTGTCAGTGATTAGTGGTATTAGACACGGTCGGACTTTTCTTCAATGGAAAGATGCCGTCAACTCGAGCCGAATAGTAAAAAAGAGACTTTGGTGAACAAGAAGTGAGAGTGGGAGATGTTGATTCCAACAAAGTTGTGATAGAAATTTTGTTCGGGAGCTCCGCGCCGCAACTCCGCAACTCCGCAACATCTCAAAGAGATCGGCCATTTCTTTCTTTAGATACTTAGACTATCTCACAATGAGGAGTCCTCAAGGGCTAATTGCCAGGCGGTTTTTGATTCAATGCAGAGCTTTTTCCTCTTCTCCGGCTGCTCGAGCACCTAATCTGAAGAACAAACTGCCAAATGGCCCTGCGCGCACACGTTTTGCGCCTTCGCCCACCGGATACCTCCATTTAGGCTCCCTACGGACAGCACTCTTCAACTATTTGCTGGCAAAACGCACCGGTGGTCAATTCCTACTACGCATTGAGGACACCGACCAGGTTCGTGTGTTGCGCTCCGTTGCATGGACTACGACTGATTACGGCAGAAACGGACGATTCCCGGGGCAGAACAACGACTTTACAATGATTTACAATGGGCAGGATTGAATTGGGATGAAGGTCAGTTTGAAATATGTATAAATATTGAGGGTAATCGCTGAGTCTCGCTTTGCTGGCAGGTCCCGTCGTTGGTGGTCCCTATGGACCTTATAGACAAGTGAGATATCACTCCTTTGTCGCAAAACAAACAATTTCTAACTATTTATTTCTGTGTAGTCCGAACGAACGGCTTTATATCAGTCCCACGCCAATGACCTCATCTCCAATGGTCATGCATACCGATGCTTCTGCTCCGCGGAACGATTGGATTCAATCGCCCGTCACCGCAGCCAGGCAGGACTGCCGCCTGGCTATGACCGGAAATGCGGCGATGTATCTGCTGAGGAATCAGAAGATCGAGCAGCCAAGGGAGAGGCACACATTATTCGATTAAAAGTGGAGGAATACCCCATGTTCAATGATCTGGTTTATGGCAAATCTGGTCAGAATCGACCGAACAACTCGAAGCTAGATTTCATCGACCGTGTATACAGCGACCCAGTTCTTATCAAATCGGATGGACACCCCACGTACCACTTGGCAAATGTCGTGGATGACCATTGCATGAAGATCACTCATGTTATCCGAGGAACAGTGAGTTTACTTATTACAGCCATCAAGTCACAAGATATTGAACTAACATCTATCAGGAATGGATGGCATCTACACCTATGCATATGGCGCTATACAATGCCTTTAAGTGGACGCCACCAAGCTTTGCTCATGTCCCTTTGCTCGTCGACAAGAGTGGACAAAAGCTCAGCAAGCGCAACGCAGACATCGACCTCTCGTCATTCAGGGATCAACAAGGGATCTTCCCATCAACCTTGGTGAACTTCGCTTCGCTCCTAGGCTGGTCGCATTCCGAGAAGTCTGATGTGTTGAGTCTGAAGGAACTGGAACAGATTGTATGTTCTTCCTGATTCGCGAAAACTCCCTAATTTCACTGCTAACAATTTGACTAGTTCAATTTGAAAATCACTCGAGGCAACACTGTCGTCTCCTTTGAGAAACTCCAGTTCCTCCAGAAGGCACATGTCCAACGCTTGGCCAAAAGCGGTGGCCCTGAGTTCGACGAGATGGTGGCAAACGTGGTTTCGGTGGTGGAAGAAACCCATCCTCTCGATCAACTGTAAGTCAGCCATCAGCCGTAAAGCACTCATAGATTACATAGTACGCAATGGCTGACAGCTAGCAGCGCCACGATCCTCAAAGGCCGCACTCTTCCAGAATACATCGCGCCTCTCATCCGCGCAGATGCCAACAGCTATACAAATGCAAGGGAGTTCGCCCAGCGTAACTCCGTCTTCTTTACCCCGAAACTCAACAGAGCCACTTACAAACCAGTCTCACCTCAATCCTCCCCGGAAGTCCCAATGCAAGCCCTTCACACCGCAGCAGCCGCTTTAACACTCGTCCCACCCGCAGCCTGGAACATCGAAATCCACCGCGACAATATTAACAGCTATGATGGCGCGGAAAGCATATTGATCTCCGCGTCTGGGTCAGATACACCCATTGACCCCAAGAACGCAGGCAAAATATTCAAGAAGGAGCTGTATCACTACCTCCGCTGGGCTCTGTCAGCTTCTGCGCCTGGGCCTGGAATCTCAGAGACTATGGTGGTTCTCGGGAGAGATGAGACGCTTCGCCGAGTACAGGACGCCAAGGCGTTGACACAGTCCTTGGTTCCTTCTGCTGGACAGAGAGTTCCTAAGGGAACTTTGCCTGAAGATAAGAGTTGGATGGGGACTCTTGCGACTAGTCGGTAGTTTAGAATGAGGAGATCGAGTGACTGTACTATAACTGTATTTTATATAACCCAATCCCAATATGTGTTTGCTGAAGACAAGATGTTAATGTGTTCAATCAATTGTTTAGCAGATTGTCCGTTTTTGATTGCGGCAAATGACTCAATGATGAGAGCCTACCCTATTGTACGATTCGTTTATCATGAATTTACTAATTGGCTAATCTAGAGGGGGAAATAAAGTACCCATGTATATTGCGGTTTAAAGGCTAGAAGTCTTTGTATACAATCTGAGACCCGATCAATCAGAGCTCCTGTTTGTTTCCTGCAGACTGCTCCAGATGGCGCAGGCTTGAGAACACGCCTTCTTTGTTCGCCAGCAATTCTGAGGGATGTCCCTGTTCTATGATTCGACCACTATCCAGAACAACAACTCGGTCAAAGTCGAGCATGGTATGGACTCTATGCGCAACCATAATGATAGTGCAGTTCTGGAAATCCTGGCGAAGCAATTTTTGGACCTTGGCATCTGTCTCTGCATCCAGGCTGATTTGTAAATGGTCAGCATCGCTCGCATAATAATGGCCAGAAGCAAAGAGATGCAAAGTTCACATACCTGCTTGTCGGCTCATCTAGTATCAAAATATTGCTCTTCTTGAGAAGCACCCTTGCTAGACAAAATAGCTGTTTTTGGCCTTCAGACAAAGTCATGTCGGTCAGTATTTCATCTAGTAGCGCTTCGCTGTTGTCGCTCTTCGTTGCAGATACAAGAGCATTCCAGATCTCGACACATTTGAGAGCTTCAATGATATCGATATCGGTGGCAGTGCCTAAAGGATCGATGTTTTGCCGAATTGTACCTGGGAAAAGGAAGCCTTCTTGACTGAGAGAACTGATCCGATGCCGAATCAATGGCCGAGGAACCGTCGATATGTCGATTCCATCAATAATAATCTGGCCAGAAACCACCTCGTTAAGACGGAGTAGTGATAGAGCAAGGGTGGTCTTGCCACTATGGATGGGTTAGTCTGTTATCGCCTGTGCCGGAGACAGTTCGTTCAAGCCTGTCGTTGCTCACCTTCCAGTTCTACCGCAAAGCCCGACTTTCTCCCCAGCACGAATATCCAAAGAAATGCTGTGCAACACGGGCTCTACGTTCTCGGACTCATATGCGATGTCTGCGCCAACGAATGAGATATCACCCCTACTTGGCCATTCTGTATCTGGCAACTGCTCATAAGCTGCATCTTGTTCCTCAGTTGGGGTATCTTCTGAGAACTCCTTGATCCTGGCAATCGCACCCAAAGAGGTTTCCAGGAGGGTCCAGTTCTGAACCAAATCTGAGAGTACATTCCCCAGCTCCATCATTCCAATCAGTGCAATACCCAACAGACCCGGACTGACTTTTCCGCGCAGAGCTACAGCAGCCCCGACGAGAATTACCGTCATACCAGTCACCATGAGTTTTAGCACCAGGCCAAGCCATTGCTGAATGCACAGCAGGAGATAGAAGGGCCTTTGGGACCTATCAAGTAATTCTAGCATTCTGGACGTGGAAGCGGTTGTCCATGAAAAGGCACGGATGGTAACGATACCAGCGAGGGATTCAATGAAATGAGTGTAAAGGGGGCTTTTGAGCTCGATCCTAAGGGGTTGTCAGTTTGCTAAACTATCCAAAAGCATGTTGGTTAAATTAAAGAATTGTTAGCGCAGATAAACATACTCTAGCAGCCGTAACTGGCGAGATGTACGCAGGTAAAAGCGTTGGACAAGCACTAACATCCCAACTACAAATGGCAGGGTTGCAGCCAGATAGGGCAATGCAGCTATGGCAATCGCGGCTTGTGCAAGAGCCCCACCAATTTCTTGATGTCACTGAAGTCAGAAACACTTAAAATAATTGGAGAAAATGTGAATGCACTTACGGAATCCTGTGGTGATGAAACCTCGAGGGAGGACCATATCCACTAGCCTCATGTCTTGGCTAAAACGCGTGATGAGAGAGCCCGTGTCTATGTGAGATAGGAAGGACAAAGGGGCACTGGATATGTTAGCTGGCTGGTATTTCGATTGGCGAAGGATTGGAAATTTCACCTCATGGAAGTTTGCAGCACGGTAGCATGGACATTTTTCGATGCGGTCGGTACAATCACGACCCAGGTCCAGCTTATAGATAGAAACCTATCAGTATGGAAATGTGAGCGAAAAGCAAGAAGGCTTCACTTACTATACACCAAGAGCCATTGAGGCACCTTCGATGAAGGATAATCCCCCATACAGTCCAAGCCAGTAACCCAATCTCGAGTTTGAAGCGCTGTCAGGGCTGGAAGACCACATCCCAATCCAAGCATCTGTGGAAAAATGAGTACCAACGGCATTTATCATCAGTCAGGGGGAGTTTGGCATACTGCGGAGTCCACCAATACCACCATTTACTAACAGCAAGAAGGAGAAAACGCAAACTCGGAGCCAGCCCATTGCAGAGAAATAGTACTTGTAAACTGCAATATCAGTCGTCTGTCGGCGCTCATCAATAGAATCCGGGGTGGATATGCCGCTTGTTATGACTTCATGAGCCTCTGGAAGCCCGGTGGTATTGTCATTCTGCATCTCCTCTTTCTCGATTTGTCCTGATTTGATACCTAGCCGGTCAACATATCCCCCGGCGTGACAAAGCTGAGAGAAGCTGCCCTGTTCTAAAACATTGCCATTCTCTCCGAGTGCGACTATAAAGTCAGTCTGGGGTAGGTATTGAACTGCTAAGTGTCAGTACTATAAGTAACTAGATGAAAATATCGTTGGGAAGCGCACCATTGTGAGTCGCGAGGAATACGGTGCAGCCCAGTCGACGCAGCAGTCCGGACGGGCCAAAGACATTGTTAAACACCAGTCGAGCAGTGGCATTATCGAGAGCACTCAAGGTATCATCGAAGCACGCAATCCGCTTGCGAGCATAGACAGCTCGCGCTATGGCCTGTAATAAAATCAGTTCGTAAACCCATTACTATTATTTCTAGGCACGATCGCCCAGTTTGCACTTACAATTCTTTGCTTTTGCCCTCCACTAAGTTTAGAGCCTTTGCTACCCACAGACGTATTATCACCCGCTGGCATATCCTTGAGATCAGAATCCAGCGCACATGCGCTCACCACAGTCGAATACCAATTAAAGTCAAACGCGGCGGATGCATTCTCCCCAATGATGTTCTCCCGGATCGTTGTATTGGTTAGCCATGGAGTTTGCTCACAGAAGGCCAGGTCTGGGTACTTGATAAAGGCTTCGCCATCGAGAACGGATGTCTCATTTGCGAGGCCTTTGAGGAACGTAGACTTTCCGCTTCCCACGGGACCGACAATTGCAACTAGAGTACCCAAGGGCGAGGGACTCAGATCGAGTGTGATACCGGGACTATCCGACGGAGAGCTTTTCCAGCCAAACCGGACATTTTGCAGGGAGACCAGCAGGTCGGATTCAGATTTGTTCTCTGAGGAAATCCCTCTAGCCCCGAGCAAAGAAAAGTTGGACAGTTCGAATTCAGATGAATTGGTGGGAGATGCAGGAGTATCTATTTCTGATTTGAGCAATTTTCTTCTCTCTGTGCGTAAATGAGGTTAATTTGCTGTACATCTTGCTCGGTAAGGCACGTATCAGAGTACTTACCGACAATATTTGGACGTCTCAAGAATTCCTGGACTCGATACAGACATGCTATTGATGCGAATGTGTCTGGAACTGCCAACAATAGATGAATGAGAGGCATCATCAGCATATTTATCAGTGAAAGGGCCGTGGTAGCTTGTGAGGCAGAAAGACCATCAGACCCTTTCACCTTCGCAACTATAGCATAGGTCGCGAAGGTGGCAAACTGCGCAACAGTATCTGGGAGGTTTACTTAAAGCATTTGTCAGTATGATTTCCTTCAATTGAGTTTCCCATATTTAGGGAATTGCAGATCTACGTACACATGCAGACACGGACGGTTTGGATTCGGCGGAATCTCTTAGAGATCTCAAGCTCCTCGATCCTCAAGGCTTCAATGCAGCCCTTTATAAACTCTGTTAGTCCTAGAAATTTCACGTTTTTTATTGAGCCTAGGACGTGGCTAGTGAAATTGATGCGCTTCTCGGTAGCTTGTAGCCATGTCTTCTGGCGAAGGGACACAGCATTGCCCATGATAAAAGAAGCAGCGGTAAAAACTAGCCAAATATATCAATCTACTACAGTAATAACTTCTAATACGAAGGGCCAGAGCACATACCTATTACAATCACGATGGGTGTGATGCAGACGACACCGATCTGAGTCTCAAGGATCCAAGCGGCCAGTCCCAGTTGCACAATACTAGCCCAGGATTCGCACACTGTAGAGTGGAAGTACTCTGCAAGCATTTCAACGTCAGCGCCCATAAGGGACATGGCACTAGACTCATCAGTGCTCCCTAGTGGCAGTTCCATCATGTGTTCATAAACAAGAGCCATAAGACCACCACGGACCATAGTCGTGGCACGAAATCCTAGGTGCTCATAAGCTGCCGTACTAACCTAAATTCCAAAGGTCAATTGATTAATAATCATCCAGTAGAGTTGAAGAAGTGTTCAAAGATATAAAACTTACAGCAACCCCGATAAAGACAATCGCAGTGGCTCCTATTAACCCATAGCCAATATTCACCGGAGAGTCAGTCTGATCGAGGAATGTGACAGTCTTGCCGACTAAAAACGGCTGCGCTATACTAAACCCTATTAGGGCGAGTCGAGGAAGAACGATAGCAGCAATATCCCAGCGCAGGCAATTAAGGATAGCTAGTAGTAATGCATGTTGACGACTCTGGTCACACTCTGCCCATGACTTTGAAAATTGATCAGATAAATTACTAGACAATAACTTCTCGTGGATGTTGGGTAGCGTATCGCCAGTGAGCAGCAAGGTGTGTCCTTTCCTCAGCAATTCATTAAGCCAGGCAAATAAGCTCCGATTAAAGATCCCGCTTGTGCTCTCAGTAGACTGAGTCTTTTCGGCCAGCAGCAACCATTTGCGTTTTTCAACATTCGCCAGCACTAGGAGGATCAACTTGATCACCAGAGATGCGGTGAGGCAGGCCGGGTATGCTCTACCATATGGTAACAGCCAGGCGGTACGTACTCGTGCAATGTCTAGAAGTCCCGTAATAAACAGATATGTAGAGACAAGGAAGGAGGGTCGAACAGCCCGGGTGTGCTCGAAATGAAGCAGAACAATTATCGAAACAGCCACTATAAGGCTGAGGGTATCACCCGCAAGTGACACATACTGTGCAGGGTAGTGTGCTGTCGCACTAAATACAAGTAGAACAATTTGTATTGCTGCCAATGCCGTCGCGATTGCCTAGATAGAGCGTTATTTACACGTTTCAGGTTGTACCATTAATAGATAACAAGACTTACCAGCGTCGCCAAATGAGTCGGTGATGATTTTACTTTCAAAGATTCTCTGGACAGCTGGAACAGACGAATGGGCAATAGCAAGAGAAAGCAGGCTGCTGGAGTAATGTTGAATATCCATGCTTCGAATAGAACTTGTTTCCAATGTTAGCATATGTGGAGACTGCCCAGGCGCCCAGACATCGAGGAGATGTACCTGTAAAGTCAAATCCTCCACGACAAGCATGATGACTGACTACAGGCCCAAAAAGGCTGTCACAGGTGTCCCCGACCACTGTCGACGCCATTGCAGCGCTGATGTGTGCTTCTGTGTGTGGTTCTTGGTGTGGAACAACTTTTGATGAGCTGAAAATTTAGCGGATGGAATTGAGCCGCAAAAAAGACAGGGGCTTGTTAAATGGTAGCCTGATCACGAATGGCGTTAACTCCGTACGGAGTCCGTCCTGAGCAGGGATCTGAGCAGGGATGTTTGTTTATCTATGGCCTTGTTCGGGCTGCAATCCAAATTAGTATAATCAGTCCAATGGACAGGCAGTTCTACATAAGTCAAATGTACCAGCTTAAGATGTATTTATGTATGCTATTCCTTGAATTGAACAAATCCTTGGAGAATCAGAAGGTAGAATTAACAGCACTATATCAAAACACTGTATTTCGCTGACAAATACATAGAAAAACGGTGAAAACCAAGTACAAATCCGACTCCCAAAACAGGAGAGCGAAGAGGGAATAAAGCCATAAGGACAAGCCAAGAAAAACCATAAGTGACAGAGAAACGGAGATAACACCATGCCAAGAAGACCAGAAAGAGAAAAAGATTAAACCCAGTGGGAATTGAAACAGCGAGGGTGTCAGCCGGGGAAAGGTGTAAGTGACAGGAATCCTCAGAAGGCTGCGGTCTGACACAGTCAGGCGCAGGGTTGGGCTCAATAACATCGAAGGATGAAGGAGAACATGATCAAGTTTGACATGACAAACTCGTAATTTTGAACAGGAAGAGAAGTTGTAGTCGGCCCCTCGAGGATTATCGTTTGTGTCTGTGGAGAGAGAGCAAAACTGCCCATAAGGAAACTAAGGGGGCTCGGTCGTAAAAGGAAAGCCAAAGGGTTATCATGAGCCGTGCAGAATCCAGTCGTGGGATCATCAAAAGGTCAACGGTTGCGTAACCACCGTTGAACATCCGAGGCGCCGAGAAATGAGATGCAAAATTTGAAATGCATTATGGGGAGGGGAGGCAATATCAGGACATCTAGTAGGTTTCATAGTCCTCAGCCCACTCAGTGTCACTGCCAGCAACGCGCAGGACCTGCCCGGGATGCGGACCATCTGGGCTGACACTGCGAATACCCTTGGACTTCTTGCCAGTGAGATCCGATCCATCCTCGGGTGCAAATCGCTTTCCTCCGTGTGCAGCACGGAGTTTGGAATAGTAAATATCACTGGGATCAGCTTCTGAGCCAGAGCAATCCTCGAAAGTCTCCCAATTTTCAGATCCAGAGGTTGTGGTGTTGACTGTAGAGGAGTTGGAGACCTGACGGGCAGCTGGGGGCGGAGCTGTGTGCTGCAGATATGGATTGGGTCGAGGGAAGGCTTGATTAGAGGAGTTCAGAGACAGCGACGATTGTGATGAGTGAGATGAATGGGAGAATCCGGTGGATCTTTGAGAGTTCGAGAATCCTGAAGTGCTCATGAAAGATCGCTGCCGATCATCATAGACGTCTTCCGGGCTAACAGGTCGCACATAGGCACTGGACATAGCGCTGTTGCAGCGAGGAGGCTCCATAAGGTGACTAAAGCGGTCGTCCTTTGACTCGACCGTTAGCGCACGCATTCTTGGGGGAGGACCGCGCGGGGGTGGCATCTTTCCAAGTGTGCTGGATGAGTAGTGACCAGGCTGGATACGACGCTCGGGGGAGTTGTTTCCATGCGGCATGTTTCCTAGCGGGACACGAGCGGGAAGCTTCGAAGGTGAAGTTGCACCCGCTCTAGAGGTGGCCCCAGCTCTAGAGGCACCATAACCAATGGTGTTGTGTTTGATTGGGCTAGTGGGGGTCTTGGTGGCTGTGCGGGGGGGAGGCGGACCTCTCATGGAGCTTCCGGGGCGAGTAGGCGGCTGTTGCCTCAGTGTGCTTGCTTTTATAGTTGATGGCGGTGCAGATGGTGTCTTTGAGCGTGGTGGAAGTGTTGACCTGACAGGTGTCAACGAATCAAGATATCGTTCTCCATGCACCAAGAATGGTCGGCCGAATTCGTCTTCCCAATGTTCCAACTCTTTCCGCAGGTCAGCTTCAAGCTTCGGTAGTTCTTTGGCAATTCTCTTGCGCAGCTTCTCCTCTCTCAAGAGCTTTCCAGGGTCACGCTTCTCTCCCTTGTTCGTACCGCGGCCCATAAGGCGGGACGCATCTTGGCTCGACGTTGCAAGTGCCTCGCGGTCTGTCAGAAGACTACGGTGTCTTTCAATCATTTCGAGAGTAGGAGCACGCTGCTCCTTAATGTGTTCCAGTCGTGTGATTTCCGCTTCATGAGCCTCGAGCAAGGCATCACTGCACACATCGGAGAACGCGGGTGTGAAGTCGAGCATTTCCTCTTCGGAGAAGAGTAGACTATCCCAAAGTTCCTGCAATCGGCAGCGAGCATCCTCCACAAACAGGTGGAGATTCTGTCTCTTAAGTTCGTTGAGGCGTGTCAATTCCTCCTCGAGGTCGTTAATTATGCGCAAACCGCAGCCACGGTTCGCGGCAAGGAATGCCTTGCGATCAGCCTCCTCAACACCAAAGCGATCCCAAAGAGAGATCACAGTAGTTCTAAGATCGTTGATCTTGCGCTCACGGGCCTTTTTTTCTTCCACCAATTTATTGCGCTTGGCCATAAGGTTGGCGACATCATCTTCATGTAGCCCCAGTTGTTCGGGGGAATCGCGATAACACTTCACAATATTGGAATCTGTTTGCGCCTGTGGTGTTCCGAGCTCGGCCCAGAGCTTGATCATTTCTTCGCAGGCAGATTGAACCTGAGCAATGCGGCGGTGGTACTCTTCGTATACGTGGGTGAATTCGGCATCCAATGCCGTCACATACATAGGCGAAAGGTCGAAGCTTGGGGGGATAGAGGCTCCTGGTGCAGTGGGAGGAAGCTCGAGTTTAACAAATGATGGCTCGAGGTGTGAGGAGTAAGATTCAAGCGCGTCGACAAGTTCTACTGAATGTTAGTAAAAGAGCATCAGCGACACGTCACGCAGATGACACTCACTCTTAACCTGCTCAAAGCGCTCACGATGCAACTTGCTCATCGCACCGTTCTTCTCGCGCAAGAATGCAATGCACCTGTTAAGTGGGTAAGTGACACGGAGGTCGTCGCTGTTAAGCTCGTATTGGCCATTGGCCCGTTCATCGCTCAGGGACGATTCCATTTGTTGAATAGCTGTAATCAGACGCTGTGCTTCCTGCATCATATCCTCTCTCTCCCTAAAAAAGAGAGATTAGCAAGCCTCCAATATGTCGGTTTATAGGTGCGACTCACTCATCAACAACCTTGAGATGATTGTTCAAGGTCTCCGATAGGGCGCTGAAGAGCTATAACACTCAGTCAGCCACGCGACAATGCCATTGTTACACTGAGGTCAATCTTACCTCCGCCTCGCGGGACTCGCGCTCGCGCGCAGGAACTCCAATCTCGTCGTAAATTCCATGGAGCTGAGCGACGATGTTGTTGACCTGAGTGGTCAAGTAGCCGGTGTCTACCGCCATTGTAATGAATGTTCCCTAAAAAGGGTGACAAAAGTCGAGATTGTTAACAAAGAATGGGACGTATCCAATCCAACGACACAGTGCCGAGCGAAGCTGCGACAGGATGACCAATGTCGGGATCAAAACAAGAGAGCCTGGCACACAGGGTTCTCAGCACACAAGGTGCGACGGAAATAAACGAAAGTAGAGGTTTGCGAAAAGCGCTTAGGGCAGCGACATAGGAGAGCGAGCCCACTGTTGTTTATGAGGGGGAGGTACTGAAATCGCAGATGATAACATCAAGTTTCCAAGGTCGCAAGTGGGTGTTTGGGCGCGATCGTCGTCCTGGGCAACGGCTGACTCATCAAGCCCCACCGCCCAATACTGCCAATCATGATCAACCCCACGCCTATTCTACTTCATACATTGACCTGTGATAATACTTATTCTCCGGTCCTTGCAGAACTCCCATTATCACTGAGCCCTTGCTTTCAGTTCTTTGACCCCTGCAATACCTTGTCTCTCCTTCAACTCTCTATCCCTCTCGATCCCCATCCAAAATGCAGGCCGCCCAGCAGGCCTGGGGTGAGTACCTCCATACCCATGACAACCAGCTTGTAATTGACCAATGTCCGCACAGAGCTCGAGAACGCGATAAGCGTCTTCGATCCCCAACGAGACGCCCTCTACGAATACAATGCCGAAACGGAAAAAGCCCTCAACGACGAGCGACCATGGGCCACAGATCCATACTATTTCAAGCACGTTCGAATCTCCGCCACAGCACTATTGAAGATGGTGATGCATGCCCGCTCGGGTGGCTCACTAGAGATTATGGGTCTGATGCAAGGCTACATCCTACCGAATACCTTCGTGGTAACAGATGCATTCCGGCTGCCAGTCGAAGGCACCGAGACCCGAGTGAATGCACAGGACGAGGCAAACGAGTACATGGTATCATATCTGCAATCGTGTCGAGATGCGGGGCGGATGGAGAATGCTGTCGGATGGTATCACAGCCACCCTGGTTATGGATGCTGGCTGTCTGGGATTGATGTGGCCACGCAGCAAACGCAGCAAATGACCGGACCCTTTGTCGCTGTCGTCATCGATCCAGACCGTACCATCTCCGCTGGCCGTGTTGAGATCGGTGCTTTCCGCACATTCCCATCGAACTTTACCCCGCAAAAGGAGGCCCACGAGGACGACGAGTATCAGACTATCCCGCTCGGGAAGGCGGAGGACTTCGGTGCACATGCCAATCAATACTACTCTCTTGATGTCAGTCATTTCAAGAGTACTCTTGACACGGAAATATTGTCCCTTCTATGGAATAAGTACTGGGTCGCGACTCTCAGCCAAAGCCCGCTATTCACCTCTCGGGATTTCGGTAACAAGCAGATCATGGATCTAAGCCAAAAGGTGCGCAAAGCCGCGCGTGGAATGGAGGTTACTGGTCCTCGTGTGGGTGGTGTTAACACCAAGGATCAACAACTCGATAAGGTTGTCCGCGGCGGACAACGCATTGTTGCCGAGGAAGTGAAGGGTCTCCTGGCGTCCGA